GCACAGGCCTCCCAGCCGCCCCCCTCCTTCTCCGAGCCCCCACCCTCCTACCTGGAGCCCCCGCCAGCCACCGCCTCCCAGCCCTACCTGCCGCCCCCTGCCCAGGGCTACATGGCGCACCCCCAGCCCTACCTGCTCCCCTCCCAGGCCTCCCCTTCCCAGTCGGCCCCCTCCATCCCTCCCCCAGCCAAGCCATCGCAGGCCCATTTCCCCCCACCCCAGACGTCTTTGCCCCTGCCCGCTGCCGCCCCGCTGGAGGCCACGCAGGGTGCTGCCAAGGAGGCCAGTGGGACCGAGCAGCCAGACCCTTCCACCATGACTCCCCAGGTAAGGCAGTGCCACCTTCGCACTCGCCCCTGCGGCCCTGGCTGGCAGCAGGGACTCGCCAGGGCAACGGTGGCGATTAGGTGCTGCAAAGGTCTCCAAGTAAGGGCAGTTAATAAACATGATGTATTTGCATAATACTTGAAGGGTTTGGACGCAACTCTCAGACATCCAGGAGTGGCGAGGCTCAGGCCAAGCTCTGTAAATGCTTCTTTATCCAGTGGCAGTTGTCAAGACCTAACAAATTGTCATTTTTCACAAGCAAACAAGTTCTTTAGGGAAGAGGCTAACTCCCAGCTGAATTTGATTTTCCTGGCGGTTTTCTTGGTCTCTGGAGAATTGTTTTCCAACGTACAGCATGTGGGTAACCTGCACCGAACCTGTGTTGACTTCATCCAGCCTGTTGTGAGATACAGCAGTCTGTTTGCTTATTGCACGTTGCAGGATCAGTGCTTCTTGTATTCAGAGATTTCCTTGTTTAGCTTTTTCTCTTGGGGTCATGGTTCAGTTGTCCATCTGATCGGTATAGCATTGTGACTATTTTAATCTTAGCACACGTAATTAAAGCTGCAAAAGAGTTTCTGTTGTAGCTGCCCTTTACTTAGGCTTGCACATTTTGCTACACGTGCATGATGTTCTAGTATAAAACTATATGGGGCATTGTTCTGAAATGCTTTTAGGCGAAAAATGTTTTTATTATTAATGTGGTGTGCTTTAATGTGTACATTAGGGCCAAAATGCTTGCAAAGAGTTTGCGTGCTTCAGTTTCTACACATTAGCATTTCCAGTGAACTTGTGACCATTCGCATACATTAAGTTAGGGACTATGCAGTGGCTTAAAGTTAAGCATGCACAAAGAGGCACACGTGCTGAGGTCCTTGGCTGTGTGTATAGGTCAGGTTCACTGAGGCTTTTGCATGGTTTTAGGGTCGGCTTGTAGAGATCCAGCTGCAAGAGCAAAGCTGACGTGCATGCTTTAAAAAGTTAATTTATTTCAGTTGGCAAATTGATTTTAGGATTGTGATTTGAAGCTAAGTTTGCAAAAATCCTGTTGCATAATATTGAAGTCACGGACATTTTAAATGGGTTAATCTTTGGGACACCTTTTAAATTGCATCCATTAAAATTTCATACCTATACCTGAATGACAAAAACCAAAACCCTGAAAAATCAGATGTAGAAAGTGATATTAATTCAATATTGCGGCTGCTTGCTGATTTCTTAAATTACTGATCTCAAGATTGAACAGTAAACCATAAATCCTCTACCTTTATGTAGCCTGAAATGTCATTAATGTTATTTGATTGTTCCTCAACCATTCTCCTTTCCATAAGAGTTGCAAGCATTATTGTGGTGTACACATAGAAGAAGCAGAATACGACTTGTCTGGTTTATGGGTGTTTATACAAACAACTTCTGTCTTGAGTAGTTTGTTTACTTTTATACACAATTCAGTGTTAATTGAAAAGGAATATTGTAGTTTTCTGGTCGTAACTTTGTTATAACAGATTGATACGATTTTGGCTATCTGAGGTTGTAAAATTAGACAGGATTTGGAGCAACAAGTCCTTACACAATAGGAGTGGGAAAAGCAAAGCCTAGTGATGCTTTCTTGCTAATGATCTTAAAAGCTGAATAGAGAAATACTGTAATTTGTCATTTATAAGATCCTATTAAGCCTTTGTTTAAACTGAGAATTGAAAACAATTCTTTCTGTTTCCCACAGTAATGGTGGCTGCAGCCAAATAGATCCGTGTTTTTCTCTTAACATAGAAAATATTATGCGATTTGCCATGAGTTTTATTATTTCCCTTTCCTGTCTAATGATAAGATACTGCTCTTTGCCTTGACAAAGGCAAAATTGTGAGTTTAGCGTAGTTTCTCACATGGGCCTACAGTTGAAGTAAATTGATGTATTCTTGTGTTTCTCTACAATCAGATGCATCTTTTGTTAAGTCCTGTTAAAATACCTGTGGTATTTCATTAATACTCCATCTGATGTTTGGGTACTATATGCTGCTATTTATTTCCAGTAGTAAACAAATATGTGTGGGTGCATATGTACCCATAAATACGCATTTATCTACATCTGTTAAAGCTACCTTAGCTTTACCATGTCACCTTTCAGCAGACTGCTGCACTCTTTAAGATCCCTCTTTTGTTTTATAAAGGGCACTAAACCATTCTTTTGCTATCTTTACCAGAAAAGGACTGAGTGTTGCATAAAATAGGCGCTATGCTATGGCCTAGGATCACCTAAATTCATTTTGAAGTAGCCTTTTGGCGTGGGCTCTGCATTAACTTTTTTGGTGGTATGTCCTGTGGTCAGGAGCTGACAGTGCTGGTATCAGTGTTCCCTGTACGGTGCCACAGCCATAGTCTCTTGGTCAGCCAAAGATGGAAACAGGCGTGTGTTGATGCTGGTGTGTTCCTTTGACTTAAGGATTGTAACTGGCCTTGAAGAATGACAGTCATCGTGAGGAGAGAAGCACTTAAATAACTGAACGGTTCACCATCAGGAATTTTCTATGCTAGCACTTCCATTTGGTTCAGACCAAGCTGTAGAAATCTACCTTTCCGCTCTTCTCACTCTTTACAGATAGAGCCTGCAATACGTGTGTGTCTGACTTCATCTGCTGAAAAAAAAAAAAAAAAAAGGTGACAGGATGTTATCATAGCTGTTTGTGTGAACCCCTGGTCATATCATGAGTTTTAGCCCTTTGTCCATTTGGTAGAATGAGGAGGAAACAAAATGGATCCATAGAGACAACAATTATGTGGCAGAATAGGTGCTCACCAAGCATATTATCCAAAATCGTCATGGTAAACCACCTTATGCTGCCTTTTGAGAGGGATAATTGAATCAGCTTTTGTGTAGCAGGGGATGTATACTCCTCCCTGATGTTGAAAATTGTGTTTATTACATGCAGCACGTTGTTGAAGGTTTCTGGGTGAGTCCGTACGGGAGTGTGAATGCACATCTTCCACTCAAAGCCATGAGAGTTCTTCTGAGTCATATTCTTGTTGAAAAGATTCTTGGCAGGAATTATTGCAGGATCAACATAAGGTCCAAGAAGCGTGACCTCTCCTTTTGTTGGCCTCATCTCCGAGTTACAGTTTTACAGAAGTACTTTTTTAAAAATACAGCTATATGTTTAATTTGTCTGCTGGATTGCTATGAATAGAAAACATCATTCCTGATTTGAGTGTGAGCTAGGCTTTTGGAGGAACCTTGCACTTCTTTTCTGCTTGTTTTAAGATGGGCAGAATGGTTCTGTTTTTGAGAAATCTCATCAGACAGCACTTATCCACTTTGTTGGTGTCACACTTCTATTTTAAAATACCTGCATCTTTTGGATTCTTTTCTGTTTCTGAGTGGGCTTTATATCAGTTTCTTTTCTTAACTGTGCATACTTGGATGGAAGAAGAGAAGATATGAAAGATGTGGAGCAGTCACAAATTCTCAGAGGTGGTGGAGCTGACATGAGAGCCTAAGAGTGGTTGCAGTAGGTCAGACCAAAAGTACAGTATTTTATCATTCTGTCTGTGACAGTGATTAAAAGCAGATGCTAAGAGAATAACTTAAAAAACGAGTGTATAGTGATACTTCCCTAAAATATAGGAGCTGCCTTAGCTGCAACTGGTGTCCTTATTTTTAAAATCTGTATATTTTTCTTCTATGAGGTTATGGAGCTGTGTCTTGAATCCACAAAATTTTAGCGCTTGCAGTGGTCTCTGGCAGGGACTTTGGTAGCACAAGGCCATGTCAGGTGAAGAGCTGCCTCCCACGTGTTTTAAATCTGTATCCTGTTAGTTTGATTTGGTGCCTGTGATTTCTTGTGTTGGAAGAGATACAGAACTGTCAGTTCCCGTTCAGGTCTCTTTAAGATGCGCCACTGCTTAAGTGTTGTGATACCTATCTTTAGTCTTTTGTTATTTATGTTGGTGGCAGCTTACAGTGCTTTGAAGCTACTGTCATCAGCCTGGAGTACTGTAATTCTAGCCTGAAATATTTAAAACTGAAAGCTTGATCACTTCTTAAATAGATACTTTTTTGGGTGCAGCCATATCTATTTACTTCTTCAGCTGCTGAATAAATCATAAGTAATGAGAATTCAGATGGTAAATAATCCTCACTATATGCTGGTTCTGATTGTCCTTTTTCCTTTCCACAGCCTTTATTCAAATGTCTCCACCACAATTTCTCAGCTGTCATTTTCAGTCTATTTGATGTCTGTGTTGTCTTTTCATCCTCTTAATCTTTTGGTACATTTTCTCCTTTTCCTCTTTACTGCTCCTTTACTCGTTCTCCATTTTCCCTTTTTACCTGAGTTAGTCTCGTATTAAGTATCCACAATTGTTAGGAATAAAAAGCATTAAGAATAGTAAGTGTGTTACAGATAAGTACCACTCATGTATCTACATGTCTGTAGTAATTTGACTTTTGTGATTGGCCATCTCTCTGGTTTTTGTTGTTGTTCTCTTTAGTTGCAAACTCTTGGAGGTAGGAAATCTGCTGCGGGTACTATGCCTCACATAGTGGTTTCTGAATTTTGATTCAGTCTTCTGACATCCATTGCATTACTGTTGGTGATTGAGTTTTCACAGAATTATAGAATGATAGGGGTTTGAAGAGGTCTCTGGAGATCATCTAGTGCAACCCCCTGCCAAAGTAGGTTCACTAAGAGCAGGCTGGACAGGAACACATCCAGGCAGGTTTTGAATATCTCCGGAGAAGGAGACTCCACAACCTCTCTGAGCAGCCTCCCTCAAAACAGATTTAAAAACTTTAGAGTATGATTTTAATGACTGTCATGAATTAGTTTTCTTGGGTTTTCCTATGAAAGCTGTCTTAGAAAATTTCTGTCTATTGTAGGAACAGCAGCAGTACTGGTACCAGCAGCACCTGCTTAGCCTGCAGCAAAGGGCAAAAGCCCATGCTCAGGGACAGCAGCAAATGAAAGGTCCGGCAGTGAAGGATGCATCTGAGCAGAGAGCAAAGTCTGAAGAAGGGAAAATGAATGCTTCAGCTCAGCAGTCTGAAGCTCCTCCGCTTAATGAATCCCTGCCTCCGCCTTCCAAAGAAGATGAGTCTTCTCTTACATCCACTGAAACTCAGGTAGGCTTTGTAAAGTGATGCCACTCCATTTGTTGTGCTAGGTGGGACAAAGAAACAGGAAAATAATGCCATCAAATTCTCATGTATACTGTGTAACAATAACTAAATATGGTAAAACAATCTTAAAAGAACATTTGCTAAGGCTGAACCAGTTAAAATGTAAAATAAAATCTTTGTATTGAAACTTACGTAGTCACCAACATATGCACCAAGCAAGTCCAGGCTTGACTCACTTGCACCTACCCCAACATTGTCATCTTTGTCTGAGAAACACTTTGTGATACCAAAGTAAAAACTCCTAGATGAGGAATGCTATCTTTAAGACAATATCTCTTAATTCCTCTCTCGCAGTTTGTGAATTCTGGCTCCCCTCTTTCTGTATGTTGGAGTTTGTTGGAAAGTAAGAACTTTGCACAGAAGACTTTTGTCAGTGGGCTTAATAACAGTTACTGCATAAATTATGGAGATCACGACTGATGTTTGAGCAGATTACTGCAGGGCAGTAGATAACCCTGCAGCATGTGCTCCACTTTAACTTACGGTGTGTAGGTTCCTACCAAGTGGCAAAAATAATGCTCTCAGGGTTACTTTACCTCATTATGAAAAAGCACCGTTGTCTGATTATATTTGCTGTGAGTAACAGGTAACGGACTCACATTAATCTATTTCCTTTAGGCAGTTTATGTATGAATATCCTCATTAATGACCTTTAGATCAGACTAGTTGCACTGAGAATAAATGAAATAAAAATCAGCCTTTCAGAAAGCTGTGGGTGGCCAGAACACTGAAATACAGAGCAATAAAATAACAAACACTGAGAAGGTTCCTGTAAACTGCATAGTGACCAAGTGTGGTTTTCTTATGACAGAAGGAGCTTTCTTTTATTTCTAGTATTTACCTTTTTGTCTAGCTCAATATTGAACCTCCCGATGACCCTGAGGAAGATTTGAGATTGCAGCAGTTGCAAGCAGCAGCAGCTCAATGGCAGCAGCATCCTCAACAGCGGGTTGGATTTCAGTATCAGAGAATAATGCAGAAGCATGCCCAGCTGCAGCAGATAGTACAGCAGTAAAAAAAAAAAAAAAAAAAAAGGTGACAGGATGTTATCATAGCTGTTTGTGTGAACCCCTGGTCATATCATGAGTTTTAGCCCTTTGTCCATTTGGTAGAATGAGGAGGAAACAAAATGGATCCATAGAGACAACAATTATGTGGCAGAATAGGTGCTCACCAAGCATATTATCCAAAATCGTCATGGTAAACCACCTTATGCTGCCTTTTGAGAGGGATAATTGAATCAGCTTTTGTGTAGCAGGGGATGTATACTCCTCCCTGATGTTGAAAATTGTGTTTATTACATGCAGCACGTTGTTGAAGGTTTCTGGGTGAGTCCGTACGGGAGTGTGAATGCACATCTTCCACTCAAAGCCATGAGAGTTCTTCTGAGTCATATTCTTGTTGAAAAGATTCTTGGCAGGAATTATTGCAGGATCAACATAAGGTCCAAGAAGCGTGACCTCTCCTTTTGTTGGCCTCATCTCCGAGTTACAGTTTTACAGAAGTACTTTTTTAAAAATACAGCTATATGTTTAATTTGTCTGCTGGATTGCTATGAATAGAAAACATCATTCCTGATTTGAGTGTGAGCTAGGCTTTTGGAGGAACCTTGCACTTCTTTTCTGCTTGTTTTAAGATGGGCAGAATGGTTCTGTTTTTGAGAAATCTCATCAGACAGCACTTATCCACTTTGTTGGTGTCACACTTCTATTTTAAAATACCTGCATCTTTTGGATTCTTTTCTGTTTCTGAGTGGGCTTTATATCAGTTTCTTTTCTTAACTGTGCATACTTGGATGGAAGAAGAGAAGATATGAAAGATGTGGAGCAGTCACAAATTCTCAGAGGTGGTGGAGCTGACATGAGAGCCTAAGAGTGGTTGCAGTAGGTCAGACCAAAAGTACAGTATTTTATCATTCTGTCTGTGACAGTGATTAAAAGCAGATGCTAAGAGAATAACTTAAAAAACGAGTGTATAGTGATACTTCCCTAAAATATAGGAGCTGCCTTAGCTGCAACTGGTGTCCTTATTTTTAAAATCTGTATATTTTTCTTCTATGAGGTTATGGAGCTGTGTCTTGAATCCACAAAATTTTAGCGCTTGCAGTGGTCTCTGGCAGGGACTTTGGTAGCACAAGGCCATGTCAGGTGAAGAGCTGCCTCCCACGTGTTTTAAATCTGTATCCTGTTAGTTTGATTTGGTGCCTGTGATTTCTTGTGTTGGAAGAGATACAGAACTGTCAGTTCCCGTTCAGGTCTCTTTAAGATGCGCCACTGCTTAAGTGTTGTGATACCTATCTTTAGTCTTTTGTTATTTATGTTGGTGGCAGCTTACAGTGCTTTGAAGCTACTGTCATCAGCCTGGAGTACTGTAATTCTAGCCTGAAATATTTAAAACTGAAAGCTTGATCACTTCTTAAATAGATACTTTTTTGGGTGCAGCCATATCTATTTACTTCTTCAGCTGCTGAATAAATCATAAGTAATGAGAATTCAGATGGTAAATAATCCTCACTATATGCTGGTTCTGATTGTCCTTTTTCCTTTCCACAGCCTTTATTCAAATGTCTCCACCACAATTTCTCAGCTGTCATTTTCAGTCTATTTGATGTCTGTGTTGTCTTTTCATCCTCTTAATCTTTTGGTACATTTTCTCCTTTTCCTCTTTACTGCTCCTTTACTCGTTCTCCATTTTCCCTTTTTACCTGAGTTAGTCTCGTATTAAGTATCCACAATTGTTAGGAATAAAAAGCATTAAGAATAGTAAGTGTGTTACAGATAAGTACCACTCATGTATCTACATGTCTGTAGTAATTTGACTTTTGTGATTGGCCATCTCTCTGGTTTTTGTTGTTGTTCTCTTTAGTTGCAAACTCTTGGAGGTAGGAAATCTGCTGCGGGTACTATGCCTCACATAGTGGTTTCTGAATTTTGATTCAGTCTTCTGACATCCATTGCATTACTGTTGGTGATTGAGTTTTCACAGAATTATAGAATGATAGGGGTTTGAAGAGGTCTCTGGAGATCATCTAGTGCAACCCCCTGCCAAAGTAGGTTCACTAAGAGCAGGCTGGACAGGAACACATCCAGGCAGGTTTTGAATATCTCCGGAGAAGGAGACTCCACAACCTCTCTGAGCAGCCTCCCTCAAAACAGATTTAAAAACTTTAGAGTATGATTTTAATGACTGTCATGAATTAGTTTTCTTGGGTTTTCCTATGAAAGCTGTCTTAGAAAATTTCTGTCTATTGTAGGAACAGCAGCAGTACTGGTACCAGCAGCACCTGCTTAGCCTGCAGCAAAGGGCAAAAGCCCATGCTCAGGGACAGCAGCAAATGAAAGGTCCGGCAGTGAAGGATGCATCTGAGCAGAGAGCAAAGTCTGAAGAAGGGAAAATGAATGCTTCAGCTCAGCAGTCTGAAGCTCCTCCGCTTAATGAATCCCTGCCTCCGCCTTCCAAAGAAGATGAGTCTTCTCTTACATCCACTGAAACTCAGGTAGGCTTTGTAAAGTGATGCCACTCCATTTGTTGTGCTAGGTGGGACAAAGAAACAGGAAAATAATGCCATCAAATTCTCATGTATACTGTGTAACAATAACTAAATATGGTAAAACAATCTTAAAAGAACATTTGCTAAGGCTGAACCAGTTAAAATGTAAAATAAAATCTTTGTATTGAAACTTACGTAGTCACCAACATATGCACCAAGCAAGTCCAGGCTTGACTCACTTGCACCTACCCCAACATTGTCATCTTTGTCTGAGAAACACTTTGTGATACCAAAGTAAAAACTCCTAGATGAGGAATGCTATCTTTAAGACAATATCTCTTAATTCCTCTCTCGCAGTTTGTGAATTCTGGCTCCCCTCTTTCTGTATGTTGGAGTTTGTTGGAAAGTAAGAACTTTGCACAGAAGACTTTTGTCAGTGGGCTTAATAACAGTTACTGCATAAATTATGGAGATCACGACTGATGTTTGAGCAGATTACTGCAGGGCAGTAGATAACCCTGCAGCATGTGCTCCACTTTAACTTACGGTGTGTAGGTTCCTACCAAGTGGCAAAAATAATGCTCTCAGGGTTACTTTACCTCATTATGAAAAAGCACCGTTGTCTGATTATATTTGCTGTGAGTAACAGGTAACGGACTCACATTAATCTATTTCCTTTAGGCAGTTTATGTATGAATATCCTCATTAATGACCTTTAGATCAGACTAGTTGCACTGAGAATAAATGAAATAAAAATCAGCCTTTCAGAAAGCTGTGGGTGGCCAGAACACTGAAATACAGAGCAATAAAATAACAAACACTGAGAAGGTTCCTGTAAACTGCATAGTGACCAAGTGTGGTTTTCTTATGACAGAAGGAGCTTTCTTTTATTTCTAGTATTTACCTTTTTGTCTAGCTCAATATTGAACCTCCCGATGACCCTGAGGAAGATTTGAGATTGCAGCAGTTGCAAGCAGCAGCAGCTCAATGGCAGCAGCATCCTCAACAGCGGGTTGGATTTCAGTATCAGAGAATAATGCAGAAGCATGCCCAGCTGCAGCAGATAGTACAGCAGTATCAGCAGATCATGCAACAGCCTCCACATTTGCAGGTGAAGCACGAAGGAGATGGTGTTTGATTATATACTTTCTGGGTGATTTAGCACTCACGATCTGCTAAAAAACAAGTAGTCGAATAATTTGCCATGGCTGGCTCATTTGTCTAGCTACTTTTTCTGCTTGGGTAGAAGTCTATATCCCCTTTTCCTACGATCACTCAACTTCAGAATGAAAAGAGAATTGACAGATGGTGATGAAGCGTCAGTAGGATGAGAAATACAAGACTTTGCAGTTGTCATTAGATTTTTCAGACATACCCGAGTGATACAGGACCAAAGCTGAACACAATATTGAATTTACTCAGCTTTGAATGTTTTAGTGCTGAAGAAACAGTTCAGAAGAAAAGTCAGGTAAACAGATGATTGCATGGAGTAGGTTGGTAGCTGCTCTTTTTTACAACATTGTGTAGTACAAAAACAAAATGTACAATGATGAAGTGAACATAGATGCCAAAAATACACACTTAAAGTAATTAAAACACTTCACATTATTTTTGACTCAAATAATCAGTGAAATAAAAGAAACTGTCTTAATCACAAGTTTGGATAATTATACCAGTGTTGCAACCATTAAGTAGAAGTTGATTACTTTATTAGAGAGTTGAGTCAGCTTTTTCTGGGTATTGAGCATTTCCTTGTAGCTTGGGCTGCCTGCTTGTTTAAAGTGAACCCTAAAGTGTGTGAATCCTAAAAATCTCAGACAAGATCAAGCCATGGATATTAGGACCTGTATCTATGCATAATGAAAGACAGTACATCTTTGAAAGAAGCTTCATTGTGCAAATAAGATCTGGCAAAGGCTTAGAGAAAAGTAATTGCTGACAGCTGAAGCAACTCTTGAGAGGGTTAATAGCAGAAGCAGAAACCTTGAGAAAGAGCCATGGACTGTATATATTGAAAGCCTGAAGATTGATTTGGGCTTTAGCCATTGTTAGCATCCAGTAACAACACAGCTTGGAGCCCTTTAATTACAACTTTCTTCAACTGTCCTGTTTTAAAAAAGCCTTTTATACATAAGTGTCCTCTAGTCATATAATATGTAAATTGTCTTTAATGACTTTAGATATCACAGTTGGTGTTTTTGTTTCAGTGTAGATCTTTCTCAAGCTTCTGCCCAAGTCTGAAATTGTGATATTACAAGTGATACTGAAATAATGTGGCTCTTAACATAATTAGGATGGTATTTTGAAGCTACTCTTGTCTTCTTGTTGCAGACAATGTCAGTGGACATGCAGCTGCGACATTATGAGGCACAGCAAAAACAGTTCCAGCAGCTTCATAAAGATTGGGAGCGATCAATGAACCAACAGTGGCAGCACCAGCTTCAAACCTACCCTCACAAAGACCAGCTTCAAGAGTATGAGAAACAGTGGAAAGCATGGGATGAACAGATGAAGGTCACTCAGTCCCATCTGCAGGAGAAGGTGAACTCACTCCAAAACCTGAAGAATCAGTATCCTGCAAATGTTTCGCTGCCACCTCCATTTGTTCCATATTCTCAATCCACTCAAAGTGGCATTCCTATTATGCCTCCAGCTTTACCTTCAACAACACCTCCACTGGTCCCCCCACCCCTCTCTTCTGTTTCTCAGTTATCTAATTCCTCTGTCCCTTCAGGATCCAGTTCTCAAAGCAGTCAATCTACTGAGAAAGCAGCAGCAGCTCAATGGCAGCAGCATCCTCAACAGCGGGTTGGATTTCAGTATCAGAGAATAATGCAGAAGCATGCCCAGCTGCAGCAGATAGTACAGCAGTATCAGCAGATCATGCAACAGCCTCCACATTTGCAGGTGAAGCACGAAGGAGATGGTGTTTGATTATATACTTTCTGGGTGATTTAGCACTCACGATCTGCTAAAAAACAAGTAGTCGAATAATTTGCCATGGCTGGCTCATTTGTCTAGCTACTTTTTCTGCTTGGGTAGAAGTCTATATCCCCTTTTCCTACGATCACTCAACTTCAGAATGAAAAGAGAATTGACAGATGGTGATGAAGCGTCAGTAGGATGAGAAATACAAGACTTTGCAGTTGTCATTAGATTTTTCAGACATACCCGAGTGATACAGGACCAAAGCTGAACACAATATTGAATTTACTCAGCTTTGAATGTTTTAGTGCTGAAGAAACAGTTCAGAAGAAAAGTCAGGTAAACAGATGATTGCATGGAGTAGGTTGGTAGCTGCTCTTTTTTACAACATTGTGTAGTACAAAAACAAAATGTACAATGATGAAGTGAACATAGATGCCAAAAATACACACTTAAAGTAATTAAAACACTTCACATTATTTTTGACTCAAATAATCAGTGAAATAAAAGAAACTGTCTTAATCACAAGTTTGGATAATTATACCAGTGTTGCAACCATTAAGTAGAAGTTGATTACTTTATTAGAGAGTTGAGTCAGCTTTTTCTGGGTATTGAGCATTTCCTTGTAGCTTGGGCTGCCTGCTTGTTTAAAGTGAACCCTAAAGTGTGTGAATCCTAAAAATCTCAGACAAGATCAAGCCATGGATATTAGGACCTGTATCTATGCATAATGAAAGACAGTACATCTTTGAAAGAAGCTTCATTGTGCAAATAAGATCTGGCAAAGGCTTAGAGAAAAGTAATTGCTGACAGCTGAAGCAACTCTTGAGAGGGTTAATAGCAGAAGCAGAAACCTTGAGAAAGAGCCATGGACTGTATATATTGAAAGCCTGAAGATTGATTTGGGCTTTAGCCATTGTTAGCATCCAGTAACAACACAGCTTGGAGCCCTTTAATTACAACTTTCTTCAACTGTCCTGTTTTAAAAAAGCCTTTTATACATAAGTGTCCTCTAGTCATATAATATGTAAATTGTCTTTAATGACTTTAGATATCACAGTTGGTGTGTGCTTTTGTTTCAGTGTAGATCTTTCTCAAGCTTCTGCCCAAGTCTGAAATTGTGATATTACAAGTGATACTGAAATAATGTGGCTCTTAACATAATTAGGATGGTATTTTGAAGCTACTCTTGTCTTCTTGTTGCAGACAATGTCAGTGGACATGCAGCTGCGACATTATGAGGCACAGCAAAAACAGTTCCAGCAGCTTCATAAAGATTGGGAGCGATCAATGAACCAACAGTGGCAGCACCAGCTTCAAACCTACCCTCACAAAGACCAGCTTCAAGAGTATGAGAAACAGTGGAAAGCATGGGATGAACAGATGAAGGTCACTCAGTCCCATCTGCAGGAGAAGGTGAACTCACTCCAAAACCTGAAGAATCAGTATCCTGCAAATGTTTCGCTGCCACCTCCATTTGTTCCATATTCTCAATCCACTCAAAGTGGCATTCCTATTATGCCTCCAGCTTTACCTTCAACAACACCTCCACTGGTCCCCCCACCCCTCTCTTCTGTTTCTCAGTTATCTAATTCCTCTGTCCCTTCAGGATCCAGTTCTCAAAGCAGTCAATCTACTGAGACGCCAAGGCCGGCTCTGCTTCCCACCCCTGGTACCTATGCATCAAAAATGGGTAGTTCAACCGTCTATTCACCTTATCATTCTCAAGTAAGTTCATCCTATGGCTCTTCAGACCACGGGAAGTCTCAAGTTCATCTTGGTAAACAAACTGTCTCCGTTTCGTCTGAGCAAGGATGTGGGGAACTGAAAGCCACTTCTGCAGTGTCTTCAACACATGCACCTACCATGCAGGATAAACCAGTGAGGTCAGGTGGATTGCTTCCAGATCCTCCCAGATCAGCGCGTTTTGAAGGCCCCAGAGGCCCTAGGTAAGGATGTTTTTCTTGATTTATACATGTTCCAGGCTAAAAGGTTTTCAGTGATACATTAAGAAATGGAACATAGATCTTATTCTCAAATCTTACTGAGGTCGTGTGAAGTGTGCTTGTTTGCTGGAGGTTTTGTTGTTAATGTATATTCACCAATGACTATGTTTATGTTATTAAAGCAAGGATAGAAAGATGCCTTTCACCTGAGCATTATTTAGAGTAGAATGTTGGGTGGTTTTTTTTCTAGTAAAATGCTTGGGCACACTTTTCATTACCAGAGACATAATGTCCCTTCTGTGAAAATAGGAAAGCTGTTGTAAATATTTCATATGTCTTTGCTGTTCTTAGTTTGAAGTTGACTCACACCTGAAAGAGTGATCCTGTATGAAAAGTGATCTAGATTCCTAGCATTTTTTCTATGTACTTGAACTTGTACTTGAAACACAATTTAGGAAAATCTAAAGCAAAAATGTTGAAAGATTGTTTTTAAGGTGTTGCTAAATATGGCAGCACTTTAATGTAGGCATTCTGAAAGGGATTCAGGAAAGTATTCAGATATATATTCAGTTAGATATATTAATGTAGCTAATTACTGGCCATTTAGATGCCATTTATCTTTTAGAAACAATAAAAAGTACTCCTGGTTTGTAATCCAAGATTTATTTCAGAAAGGAGAAAATTCAAAGCTGTTCACCAGTACTTTAATGCCTAGTGTGAGAGAATTCTGCAGTTACATGATTGTCCTGTTCAGTGTACTTTTCAAAATGATTGCTTGATAAGAGAGGTAGTGCTTGTCTTAAGTACAAGTCCATGGTTTTCTACACATGTAGCATTATTTAGCATACAAACAATTATGAACAAGAGAGAGAAGGAAAGAAATGAAGATTTGAGCCTTAGAATCCTAGCATTAGGATTCTTTGCCATTTTTTCTTTTGCATTACATCATTCATAATGGTCTTGGTTTTGATGGTTGCTGTCAATCTTTTGGTAAGATACCGCTTTGTTTCAATTTAAATCTGTTTTATCAGGTGGATGGCCTGCTGCCTAATGTAAATGTTCTCTAAAAGCCAGTGTTCTGTGTCTTTTATGTAGTTTTATACGTGCTGTATGGTTTAATCCAAGATGTTGTTTTTGGAATGTTTTTCTTTCATAGTTGACATGATATCAGGTTGCAAAAACAACATCTGTTCTGTCTGGCCATTAGTTCAAGACTGGTTGATGTGATGTTTTCTGAATCAAAGAACAATGTTGTTCTGTTAAATTGTTTCTATCCTTAAATACTCTGCTAGACATTATAATCATACCTTCATGTTTATTTCCCTTCTCTTTGCTTCCAAAGTGATTGTTCATGAATAATAATTCATGAATTGCTAGCAATATAAATGATTATTTTTTTTAACTTTGAATAATTTTCTACCTCCTGATGTTTTTTAAAAAGGGTTGTTTCTGGTCCTGGGGACTTGTTTGGTGTACGGTTCTGAACAGGCTGTTTCCATGATTTCCTAGCGTGTGTCTTTTATGTGCGTTGGTTTAGAGCTCAGTGGTGTGCAATGATAGGCTCTGGGTAACCACAGATTTCTAAAATGCACATACAGGAGCTCTGGTTTTGAGCATACTTACGGTATTTAGTTAATACTGTAAACCTTTCTGCATTCCTCTATTGTGATTGCATGACTGTTCTAGGGTTTTATTGAAGCTTTCCCAAAAACCTGTTTACTGTTTCTTCTCAATATACTTAGTAGAAAAGAGAGTCGTAATAAATTTTAACTGAACTTGGGATAAATTAAAATATGTTAAATGTTACCTGCTGCCATCCCAGCTAAAAAGTCCCAGGTAATGACTAGACATCTAAAAAGACACACACCCCCTTCACTTCTTCTCAGCAATTGACTTTTCTCAGGAAACTCTGAAGAATGGGCTTAAACTAATTTTCAGAATTTTAGGGATGAAGTGTGGCTCTACTTATAATTTCCATGTGAAAGTTGATCCTTCAAATCTAAGTTGTCTTGCAACTATATCAGCCAATTCCCTCGGGACTCTGGGATGCATTTTGTCAGGTCCCCCAGCATGTTCAGGTTCCTCAGGTGGTCACGAACCTGATCTCTTACAGTGGGAGAGACATTGTTCCCCCAGTCCCTGTCTTGTAGTCCATCCACTTAAGAGGTGTGGGAAGAGAGGTTGCTCTTCTTATTCTTTGCATCCCTTGCCAACTTCAGCTCTAGCTGTGCTTTGGCCTTCCTGATCCAATTCGGTGAGACACAACTGTGAATCCCAAACATCCAGGCGACTTGACCTCAGACATGAGTTCTCTATTTTGTGTAAAATTAATTTGATTTGTTCTAGTCTAAGCATATGCTCAAATACTGATTTACATAATAAAGATTGGATTTTTTTACTAGATCAGCCTTGTTAATATAAACATGCATTAATTATTCTTCATTAGTTTGTCTGACCTATTTCTTCATAATCAAGCAATAGGAGTTGTAGGTGCTCTCAAAAGGAATTTTAAAAGTGATGTAATAAAATGTATCTGTTTTAGACATATTGCATGGTACTGGACAATATTGCAGTTTGTTGCTCTTTCTGAAAGGATCTTTATTTAAAGATTTCTCTAGATGGCATTCATCACCCTAGTGAAGTAGGCTTGTTGCGTACTATCAAAACAAAAGTTTAACAGGAGTTGCTGATTGCAACAAAACTTCTGTTAAACAAAAGCTGAAAGCTTTTTTTCAAATGAGTGTGTGAGCTTTCTTTGTCAGTCAGATTTCAGTCCTGAGATATTTAAGCCAAATTTCCTTTCAGAGTTGCATAATTTGCAAGTGGCTTAAATTGGTCCTCGGACAATATTGAATTGAAGAACATGTTTCTTCTGGTCTGGTTCAGTTGAGATTGATTTAAAGCACACTAGGATTCATCAGTTAGAAGTGACTTTTGGGGGATTGACACCCTTTTAGAGGATTTTAATTTCATGTATTCTTTTGAATAAAATTGCCATTATGTCATCTATAGATTTGATGGACCTCGGGGAAGAGGCTATGACAAATTTGAAGGCTCAAGACAGAGAGGACCTCGTTTTGACTCCCAGCGCTCAGAAGGATACAGGTCACGTTTTGACCGACAGAACACGGATGGACAGTCTTCGAGTAGATGGGGGACTATCCCACGAGGACCAGCAGCACAATTTTATACTTCAACAAATGCATCACATGGACACGGTTCCCGACCTAGTGGTCCACGGTGGAGGGGACCCAGACCTCATTTGGGGCAGCAGCAGCAACAGCAGTCACAGACAGACTCACAGTCAGAAAATAAAGAGTCTTTTACAGAGGTGGCTGGCAATCAGCAGACTGTAAGCAGAACGCAGTCTACTCCCGATGCACAGAGTGCAGGTCCCATTGAGCCAAGTGAGGACCTGACAGACACTCAACAGGAACCATCCAAACCTGAAGTCAAAGAAACTACTTCGGACCCTCCTAAAAAGTGGACGTGGAGTTCACATGATCCTAACCAGAAAGTAGAAGAGTCCAAAGCACCTACTCCACCTATTCAGAACCAGAAATCAACATCCCTTTCTAGTAACCCTGTAGCTTTGCAATCGGACATCGCAAGAACAGGTGGTGCGGTAACTCCTGTAACAGGAAATCAGGATTTGGATACACCGGACGACCAGTTGATTGCTTCAGATAGCACCCAGGGCCTACCTGGACCAGAAGGCAGAGGGAAAGGGCAATTTATGCATGAAGATAGAGGCAAGGGACCAGTAAGCAGAGGAAGGGGCCAGGGCAGACTGGATGATGGCCGTGGCAGAGGGCAGGGGGATGGCCGTGGCTGGGGAATGGGCCGTGGCCGGGGAATGGGAAGGATGGATGGTGGCCGAGGGATGGGAAGGATGGATGGTGGCCGGGGGATGGGAAGGATGGACGGCGGTTGGGGAATGGGCAGGATGGATGATGGCCATGGCCGGGGAATGGGCAGGATGGATGAAGGCCGTGGCAGAGGATATGTGTACAGAGGCAGAGGGCAGGCCAGGCAGGCATCCATCCGTGGCAGGGGAATGTTCAGAAGAGCAGGCAGCAGGGAGAGGATGCCAGACAGGCGGTCGGGCAGCAGGGAGAGGATGCCAGATGGGCGGTCTGGCAGCCGAGACAGGGGGCTGGGTGGACGGTCAGATAGCCATGAGAGGGTGTTCTCTAGCCGAGACAGAGAGCTGGCTGGGCGAACAGGTGGCTGGGACAGAGGCCGGGCAGGTAGCCGGGAGAGAGGCCCAGTCAGGAGGGCAGGTAGCCGGGAGAGGGAGCCCATGCGGCGGGCGGGCAGTCGGGAGAGGGAACCCATGCGGCGGGCAGGCAGTCGGGAGAGGGTCCCCAGGAGGCGGGCAGGCAGTCGGGAGAGGGTCCCCAGGAGGCGGGCAGGCAGTCGGGAGAGGGTCCCCAGGAGGCGGGCAGGCAGTCGGGAGAGGGGCCCCATGAGGCGGGCAGGTAGCCGGGAGAGGGGCCCAGTCAGACGGGCAGGTAGCCGGGAGAGGGGTCCCATCAGGAGGGCAGGTAGCCGGGAGAGGGAAGCAGGAAGATCTGAAACAGGCAACATGGATAAACCCATTCACCTAGGAGATGACCCTGACAAATTGCCTCCGTACCATCGAGATGACACACTGAGGGGTTCTTGGGGTCATGAAGATGATGCAATGCAAGAGGAATTTCCTTTAGATAGTCAAGATGACCCTTCTTTGGAGCATGAGCAGTTGGATGACTGGGAAAGAGAACGATACTGGAGAGATCACAACTCTGATTATCAAGATGATTCTGTAGATGCATATGACAGAGATGACAGGTTGCAATCCCACCATTCATTGCCTCCTTTATCTCCCCTACCACCACTACCTCCTTTATCATCTGATCATGACAGAAGAGATTCATGGTGGGATGACTGGAAAAGGCCCAGAGAGAGAGAACTAGAGAGAGATCTAGATAGGACTGGAAGATCCTCAGACGTTTATGATCAAGATTTAGACAGAGAATGGGATAGAGACTGGGACATGAGACCTATGGATGACAGAGAAGTGGGGAATCGTGACCTGGATATCCCTCCTCTACCACCATTACCACCTCTTCCACCTCTGGACAGATACCGTGAAGATAGGTGGAGGGACGATAGGAATAGAGATCATTATGACAGAGACTTCCGAGACAGGGGAGAGCTAAGGATTCGAGAGTATCCAGAGAGATACGACACATGGCGGGAGAAGCAAGACTACCTTCCTGAAAGGACTGATTGGGAGAGGGAACGGTTGTCAGATAGATGGTATCCAGATGATGGAGACAGAATGCGGTCTTTGGATGATCATTCAGATTCGTCCCTTCCTCCACCTTCACATTCCTCTGATATGCTGGGAGCAGATTCAAACCTGGACTCTGACCAGTCGTTGGGAGGAGTGATGGTCCTTAGCCAAAGACAGCATGAGATAATTCTGAAGGCTGCCCAGGAGCTCAAAATGCTTCGGTGAGTTGCCTGGTTCTGTCATTTTGGGTGGGAAGCTCATTTTGTGGAGACAGTGCTCCTTTCCTAACTCATTCCTTGGTTTATGCACTAATGGCTTCATTTCTTTCGCCACAGCATGATAGTAGGAGCTCATGTGGAACAAGTTATTTGGAGTACCTCCATCGCAGCTTTTATGGATGGTCATCTTGTCTTAAATAGGTGGTTGTCCCTTTCCCCAAGAATATGATATTTCCTCTTTGTTACTTTTCAGGAAAAGATCTGGCCACATCACCTGACCAGTATTTTTGTTATCCTCAAATGAGCTTGTTGATAATTGCTTTTCAGTCTTTTTATTAGTGTCAGATGAGCTCATCGGTAATTGCTTTATAATACTTACCTGTCAAGATCTACGTTAATGTGGTTCTTAATTCACACAATGGGACCTATTTAATTTCAGGATACTGCTTACTTTTTAATTAAAGCATACCTGTTTTTTTTCTTTTTACAATGCTCCCTCATTTGAAATCCAGCATCATCAGTGAATATTTTTGTCAAGTTTGATTGATATTAGTTCTGAAGTTGAGCATGTCAGCAGCGATAACAATCAAGAGGATACGAACGCTAGAGCTCACAAGACCACATTTTAAAAAGCAGCAACTAGGCTCCCTAAGGCTTTAATAGATGTCTATTTCAAAATAAGTAATTGAGTATCTTCTTAAACATCAGAAACATCCTAGGTCTCAGTACATTTAGTAATATTAGAATGAATGGAGCACATACCATCTATCCAAATGCTATCTTTGTGATTTGGTGCATGAATTTAGGTGCATTAAATGTATTTGAAAAAAAAAACACCAACAACTATTTTTGGTGAATGAGATCTTTCAGAGGAGATTGTAGAGAAAAGAGGAAGCATCTTAGAGACAGAAGTTCATCCTATTCAGGAATTACTAAGAGGTCACTAAGGATTGCTGCCTAGTAAAGATACGGGTTTAATTTCATAAACAAGATATTACACTAAAATAACGGGCAATTAAAATGAATGTTTGGTTGTCATTACATTTACATTTAGCAATATTGAAAGATACAGAGACGTTTTGCACTTTTCTTGAAGACATTTTGTTTTCAGACTCATAAGATTGCTAAGCATCTGTCCCATATGGAGGGCCTTAGTTGCATGCCAAAATGCGAGAAAAATAACATTAAAAAAGAAAGGGATAACTTTTATTCTGACTAGTTTAATCTTTCACTGCAGTTAGGTTAATTCAACAGTTGTTAGTAATTGTGAAACCTGTGTTATAAAGCAATGTTTGCCAAAAGTTTGGAGCAATAGATCATTTTCAGCTTCCTGACTTTCCCATTGCCTCAGGTTGCCAGGCATATGTTTTGCTGTTTAATTGACTAGCTGCAAGCCAATGGACTTAATCCAGGGACCATAGTTTGGGAATCACTGCCAAAGTGAATAATATATTAGGGCTGAAATAGTTAAACACAGAAACTAAAACATTTTATGTAAGAAAGTAGATACATATACCCCTTTGTAAGCCAGTAAAAAGGGGGAATATAAACATGACACTGCTGATAATGGATTTTAATTTAATATGAGGATGATCTTAAAAATTAGGTACGCTTGTACTTCTCATCTGGTTTTATAAGCAGGTGACCCCAGTCTGAAGGGTAGGAACAACTTAAGGAGATTGCTTATGATATATTTTTTGAGCCAAGAGTTGTATCAGTAGTGGTGCATATCTGTTTTCATCTCCAAAGGTAAACCCTTCATCTGGCTTTGTTTTTATTGTGTGTAGAATAGCATACTCTGTTCTGTGTTTATCATCAGGTGTATTTTTCTGAAGCCAGGTGTAAAGACGACCTTTTAAGCACTAGCAATTGCTCAGTTTACTCTTTGTACTAATGGAGCACTTTGGATCCCTTTCTGTGAGGCAAGTTCCCCTTGCACTGAACACTGAACAGATGGGTTGCTAGTCAGGACAGCCCCTGTTGTGCCCAGTACAGAGGGATCCCATTTTATTTGTTCTTTGGCCACTACTTTCATACATGCAATATGAGCAAAGAGTTATCAGCAATAAAAAAAAAAAAACTGGATAAAAAGATGCAAATGAAAACTGAAAGGAAATCATATTGAAGAGAGATCTTAATAATCTGGTGGTTGTAGTGTTCACTACTGGTCCTGGTCTTTGCTCCATAGACTAGATAGCATTTTGATATATAGAATCATAGAATTGTCTAGGTTGGAAGGGCCCTTTAAGATCATGTAGTCCAACCATAACAATAAAACGAGGAAACAAAAGCTAACAACACTGCTTTGATTTTAAATGTTGGAGTCTCTGTGGTGCTTTGTGTTGGCCTCAATCCTGTTAGTCTGCAAACCAGAGCAAGTCACCGAGAGCACTTGAAGCATGCATCTCCGCTGGACTTCTGGTTTAAAGAAGGTGCTGTCAGAAGCTAAAATCTAGCTTTGCTCTTTACTGTCAAAGTGGGAGTGGTTCTGGCCAAGCCCAAAAGCATAGCTGCATGTTGCAGAGGAAATTTGTGATCAAAAAAGGGGGCAGCTAATATATTGAGTATCTCCATGGTTAGGTGAATGTGAAACAGGTTTATGGATTGACCATGTAAAGCCTGCTGTGTCCATTTCTTCTTTGGACTTGGCACCTAATGCTAGTGTAATACATGGCTTTCACTGTGAGCATTGATTTCTTTAATTTTTCACTTAAGCTACAGACTTATAACATTTTCCTGTGATTCATATGCAGAGAGCAAAAAGAACAGCTACAGAAGTTGAAAGAGTTTAAACCTGACATTTCCACACAAGACTCTCCTAGATCACAGAACACAAGCACAAGGCCGGGTGCCTTCCAGGTAAATTCATCTTGTGTTAAATTAATAACATACCATTAGCAATTACTATTAATGTGTATGTCAGATCAGTTCTGCACTCTGATGGTCAAACTTCTCTATGAAATGCCTCCCGAGCAGCCCTTACAACCTCATTGTTTTTCTGCTGAGGCAAAGAACTTCATAGTTTCTTTAGATTTTCAAAAGCCTTTCTTACTTATTCAGTCCACTGTGTTTTCTGAGCATGACCCATTGGGGACAGTGGTGCATGAGGTTCAACAGCCTAGACTGCTGTGGGATGATGTGCAAGAAACAGTGAGCTCTTCCAAAACAGCAGTGTAAGTCTCATGAGAAGATCCTCCTGCCTAACTGGGTTCTGATACTGTCTTTAATTCTGATCTTGCTTGGCTTTTTCTACTTTAAGAGCTGTCTCCTCTCTTGAAGAAATTAAAGCGAGAAATTTGAGGTTTGGTCCATCAGAAACTGAGATATTTCAACACAGAGTGGGCGTTAGCTTTCTGTTTCCTGTTGTTATTAAGAATTCTCATTACCCTCTGGAATATTATAAAGTGCTCACATTTGTGTGCTTCCATGACTTAATCTCTCGTCGTAATGCAAGTTATTCCTCTGCTGCTTAATCTCCTGGTTGGTTCTGGGAACTCTTCTCAGCTGCTCATATTTGGTTTTTTGATAGTTTAGATCCGGTCAGAAACTAACTGAAATTCTGCAATCATGTTAACTCAAGTTTATAAATCCTTCCTAGATCAAACAAACAATTTTGCTAAGTATATGTTGGAAGACATACCTGAGTTGATGCACAGTATTTATTCTTCAGCCCATCTTAACCCCGAAGTTACTGATACCAGTAAATTTAGCTGTACTGACCTCTGCGTCTGACATTTAGCCAGACCAAGCTTGCTTTGTCCCTCCCTCCAGAGAAGCATTATGCAGCGAATGAAGCACTGCAAGTTTTCTTTTTGCCTAGTTGACCTCTTCCTTGTTTGCAGTGTTCATAAAGTAAAATAATGGAACAGATTTGCTACCAAGAACTGCAGATGTGTTGATGCCTTTAGCAGGTGACTTTTCCCAACTTTGATGTGTTGTATCTCAGACTACTTCACCAATCTGCCTATAATTGTTCAAACAGCTGTTGTCTTTCTTGGGATTCTTACCTTCAGACTTCTGCTGTGACTTTGACCTGTTATTACAAAGTTCAGCTTTGCATCTATAACCGTTCTGCAAGTTTTGTTGCATGTTGGTAATAAGGCTGCCTATAACTTGGCATCTGCTGTGATGCTGAAAAGACTCTTGTGACACAGCACATGGGGTTCCATGAGGGCGTTTGGTTCATGAAGGGGTTTTGTTTTCTTGGTTTTTTCCCACTGGGCAAGACCTCCCCATTTCTTATGTTGATCTGATGTTGATTTCATTAAGAGGTTTCCAGGTGATTCTGCTCTCTGGGAATTTTTCCAGTGACTTCCAGAAAGAAGCTGGCCTTATCAATCAATCCTTTTGTGCCTCACCAAGCTGCCCTACTTTCAGACTTTTTCAGCCTCCTCACAGACAGCAGGAATCTTTGCAGACATCAGGAGTCTTTGGGAATAAAACCGTAGACACTTTTGAACTGAGCTAGGCCTACTGGAGCTTTAAGTGGTAAGGTTATTTTGAAGGAGAAAATAAATAGGACTTAAGTCTTCACATAGTGAACAAGCACCAAATTAATTCAGGCCACCAGTTGTTGAAATATTGTCCTCCTACTTATAAGCACCTTGATGGAGGTACTGCTTATGATTTGATTACCAATTGCCATTATGCTTACTGACTTACAGAGGATGAGAGAAGGTTAGTTTACAGATCTACATTAAAAGTGCTTTCTGCATCTAGGTCTCTTCTCAGCTATCTTCAGAGGCACCAGTAGAAGCCCAAGCTATTAAACCTTCTCCTGCTGTTATTATAAAGCCTCCCGTGTTGTTCAGACAGCCCACCCCTGTGACAAGACCAAGTGCCCCACTGTCAAGGCCTGCTACACCTATGACAAGGCCACATGCTCCAGTTTCTACTCCAACTACAACCCCAAGTCATGGTCAGTCTTTAAAACCATCACCTTCTGCTATGGAACAGGAACGCTGGGATGAGGATTCTTTCCATGGACTCTGGGATACAAATGAGGATAAAGGAGCAAATATGGAGTATGAGTTGTGTAAACAGGAGTCAATGATGCCTCCACCCGTCTCCTCGCCTGTGAAAGTACCTGCCGTTCACACCTCCGTTCCGCCAGCTGTACCAGTGTCTCTTCCTCCAGTTATTCCACCGGTTCCTAAAGCACCCGTAATTCAGCAAACTGTGGATTATGGCCACGGGCGAGGTGGGTATTACAGTGTATTTGTTTGATTTGTAACAGAGACCTAATTAGTCCTCTTAGCTTCTTTCTAAAGGAGTGTGCCATGCAAAGTGGGCCGTAGATGTTCTGCAGCTGACCTGTGGGCTGCGTACGTTGTGATCTAGTGATAAGCAATGCAGTTTTAAGGAGTCTGTAATCTCCAGCATTGAGTTTAATGTTTTCTTCAGTGCTGTGATAATGAGCTATTTCATGTGAACTGAATGGTGTGCAGCCATGTCTGCTTCTCATAAATACCAACTGATGTGATCAAATCATAGAATCACATGTGGTTGGAAGGGACCTCTGAAGATCATCTAGTCCAACCCCCCCGCCAGAGCGGGTCTATCTAGAGCATGTTGTACATGTTGTACATGCTCTAGATGCCTGTTGTCCAGGCGGGTTTTGAATGTCTCCAGAGAAGGAGACTCCACCACCTCTCTGGACAGCCTGTTCCAGTGCTCTACCACTCTCACAGTAAAGAAGTTCCTCCTCACATTTAGGTGGAACTTCTTATACTCAAGTTTGTGCCCATTTCCTCTTGTCTTGTCACTGGGCACCGCTGAGAAAAGACCAGCCCTGTCCTCCTGACACCCTCCCTTTAAGTATTTGTACGCATTAATTAGATCTTCCCTAAGCCTTCTCTTCTCAAGACTAAAAAGACCCAAGTCCCTCAGCCTCTCCTCGTACGAGAGATGCTTCAGGCCCTTAATCATCTTTTTGGCCCTTTGCTGTACCCTCTCCAGCAGTTCCCTGTCCTTCTAGAACTGGGGAGCCCAGAACTGGACACAGTGCTCCAGATGGGGCCTCACCAGGGCAGAGTAGAGGGGCAGGATGACCTCCCTCAACCTGCTGGCCACGCTCTTCATGATGCACCCCACAATGCCATTTGCCTTCTTGGCCACAAGAGCACATTGCTGGCTCATGGTCATCCTGTTGTCCACAAGAACTCCCAGGTCTTTTTCCTCAGAGCTACCCTCCAGCAGGTCAGCCCCCAATCTGTACTGGTGCTTGGGGTTATTTCTCCCCAGGTGCAGCACCCTACACTTGCCCTTGTTAATTTCATTAGGTTTCTCTTGGTCCAACTCTCCAGCCTGTCCAGGTCTCTCTGTATGGCGTCACAGCCTTCTGGGTGCCAACCACCCCTCCTAGTTTTGTGTCATCAGCAAACTTGCTGATCAACAAATCAATGTGTTGTATTTAGATTGATACTGATACTTTCTGTTAATCCCTTTGTAGCCAAGTGTGGAAATATCTGTGCTAGAAGGTACTTTGGATTGTTACAGTTCTTAGGTGTGACTTAGTAAATTAAAGCAGGATGTGACTGGTGTTTGCATTACTTATATACTGCTTAATGGATACAAGGTACCCTCTAGAGAGGGAGGGAGACGAAATTCTAGTTGTGAAGAGCTTGTGTCCTAAAAAGGCATTTAATACGTAAACAATGAACGTCTCTGATTTTTAGCATTGAGCTTATCAAAGCTAAAATTCAGCACTAGTTTTTCAATAGAATTAATTTCCCTCATTCCTAGTTTTTAACAGGAGTGAAGTCATGTCGTAAAGAAGTCCTTAAATTGGGCACTGTTGTTCAAAGAGCGCTTTTTCTCTCGTGTCCTCCTGACACCCTCCCTTTAAGTATTTGTACGCATTAATTAGATCTTCCCTAAGCCTTCTCTTCTCAAGACTAAAAAGACCCAAGTCCCTCAGCCTCTCCTCGTACGAGAGATGCTTCAGGCCCTTAATCATCTTTTTGGCCCTTTGCTGTACCCTCTCCAGCAGTTCCCTGTCCTTCTAGAACTGGGGAGCCCAGAACTGGACACAGTGCTCCAGATGGGGCCTCACCAGGGCAGAGTAGAGGGGCAGGATGACCTCCCTCAACCTGCTGGCCACGCTCTTCATGATGCACCCCACAATGCCATTTGCCTTCTTGGCCACAAGAGCACATTGCTGGCTCATGGTCATCCTGTTGTCCACAAGAACTCCCAGGTCTTTTTCCTCAGAGCTACCCTCCAGCAGGTCAGCCCCCAATCTGTACTGGTGCTTGGGGTTATTTCTCCCCAGGTGCAGCACCCTACACTTGCCCTTGTTAATTTCATTAGGTTTCTCTTGGTCCAACTCTCCAGCCTGTCCAGGTCTCTCTGTATGGCGTCACAGCCTTCTGGGTGCCAACCACCCCTCCTAGTTTTGTGTCATCAGCAAACTTGCTGATCAACAAATCAATGTGTTGTATTTAGATTGATACTGATACTTTCTGTTAATCCCTTTGTAGCCAAGTGTGGAAATATCTGTGCTAGAAGGTACTTTGGATTGTTACAGTTCTTAGGTGTGACTTAGTAAATTAAAGCAGGATGTGACTGGTGTTTGCATTACTTATATACTGCTTAATGGATACAAGGTACCCTCTAGAGAGGGAGGGAGACGAAATTCTAGTTGTGAAGAGCTTGTGTCCTAAAAAGGCATTTAATACGTAAACAATGAACGTCTCTGATTTTTAGCATTGAGCTTATCAAAGCTAAAATTCAGCACTAGTTTTTCAATAGAATTAATTTCCCTCATTCCTAGTTTTTAACAGGAGTGAAGTCATGTCGTAAAGAAGTCCTTAAATTGGGCACTGTTGTTCAAAGAGCGCTTTTTCTCTCGTTTAAGGTGCCATAACATGAATTGAAGGCATATTGATTCCATTAAGTAGGTGTTTTACTAAAAGCTGTTAGAAAAATTGTCACTGTTAGGAATCTAAAGTGAGCGTTTCAGTTACTAACTTTGACGTTACGGTAGTTCTATGAGTTATTGAAACTTTCAGAGCATTTAAATGTTTATAATCTTCTGACTGTGCATGCTACCTGAATTCATCTGAAAAGGCAGAAGTTCCATTCTTAAGATAAGGTGGTATGCGTACTTACACACACACAAGCCCACTTCAGACTTCCAAAACTATGGTGTTGTGTATTTATGTGCAGCTCTTTTTGCATTATCCATTAAAAGAAATTTTGCTAAGTTATTCCAGTCGCTTTTAATGCCATTGACTGATTGCTTTTCATGACAGAGGAAAGGAAATGGAAGAGGGGTATTTGAAGACTTTGATTATTTTTTGGTTATTTTTAACCAGATATAACCACCAGTAAAGTGGAACAGATTCCATATGGGGAGAGGGTAACCCTGCGTCCAGAACCTTTACCGGAGAGGCAAACATTTCAAAAAGGTAGGGAGCGCTTGGCTAGATCTCAGACAGTTAGTTAGCTCTTAAGAAAAGTTTTAATCTATGTAACTCTTGTTTAAGCTAGAACCACTTAATTTCTTCAGAGGCCCATAAAAATAGCAGTTTATATTGTCAAGAGGAGTTATGCAGTCCAATGACCTAGCTACTTTAAAAATTTAGTTTTGTAGCTTTAAGTATGGTTTCATGGTATGGTTGTCTCTTACAGTTTGGAATAGATATTCAGTGTCTGGTTAAGTCCATCCTAGCCCTCACGTATGTTTCTATGTACTTTTCTTCCACTCTTGTTTGTTGCTTTTCCTTCAAAAATAATAAAAAATTCAGAGTATGTTTTAGTAGTTTGCATTTCCATGGGTTTCTACTTTCAGAGCACCCGGGTCGTTACAACAGAGAAAGAGATCGTGAGCCTTATTTTGAGCGTCAGGGTAATTCCAACACAGATCATCGGGATTTCAAGAGAGAGCGGGAATTGCACAGAGACCGCGGTTCTGTGGACTATGAACGAGAGAGATTTGACAAAGAGCGGCATCCCCGAGATGATAGGTACGTGGTTTTGCGACACTATGGAAATCAATACAGTTCAGGCTGCATCGGGCGTAGGGCTGTCCATTTTGCCTGTGAGGTACATGTTCATTTCTTCCTGGAATCCATAGTAGAAATTCTAGAAATAGCAGGGTTCTTCCTTCTACACCTTCTAGGACTCAGTCTTACCGTGACAAGAAAGACCATCCTTCCTCCAGGCGAGGTGGTTTTGAAAGACCACCATATGAACGAAAGACAGATCGTCCAGCGTATGATCATGGACCTTCCATGTTTGGAGGTACGGTTTCTCAATCTTGAAGCCATGCTAGAGTATTATGAAAAATAAGGACTCACAGAGGTGAAGATTAATTGAGAGAAGATTAATTGATTTGCAGTATTTTGTTCAGCATATATATAGTTCGGGTAAATTTATTCGGATGGTGTCATGTGGTTTTGTTTCTCAGTGGTGATAAGATCAGGAATGCAACAGTTATACTCTCTTCAAAAATGTCTTTGATTGCAATAGGTTCAAGATTAGAAATTTGAATTATTTTGGGGACAAATCTGTGAATTTGTCCTAAAATAATGAAGGTCTGTTTAAATCAGCTCAGCTGGGTATGAACATCTTAATTTTTTTATTTTACTGAACTAAGAAAATTCTTCTGTCCAAACACTGGAATTTGAAGGTGATCGTAGAAATTACCCTGAGGAAAGAATTCCTATTTCTGCTCCATCAATGCCTCGTCAGCCACCACCTGCTCCACGAGTGGAAAGGAAGCCAGAATCTAAAAATGTAGATGATATTTTGAAGCCACCAGGACGGGATAGCAGGCCGGAGAGAGTGAGTGTGCATTCTGAAAGCATCAATCTGTTTCTATGAGGTCTATATTCAGATAAAATGCTCATCAGTTTAATACAATGGGAACAAGCCTACCTTTGAGGAAGCTCTAGAAGTTCTTGGTTCCTTTTCAAATGCCTGGGGTGTTGTAGCATCGCTATTAGGAGTCAACAGGAGATGTAAGCTTCCTTGGAATGCTAAGATGAAATTAGTATTAGTAGGTAATGCTAATGTATTTTAAATTATTCTGAGGTCTTCACTTGGGTGTTTGATGTAACGGAGAAAAGACTTGACTTTACAGAAGTCAGAGATTTGACAATGCACGATATAAAATAAGAAAGAATAAATTCAGGCTATTTAGACAAGTTTCAATTAATTTTATCTGAACCAGATCTGTAACATCCTATGTAATATTAGCTGCTGGGATGATTAATATCATATACTCTTATTCTGTGGAACTACTACCGTTCCTCACAGCTTGGTTTGTAAATTAGGCAGTGAGGCTTGGTATGCAAAGTGCAAGCCCAGAGCACATAATTTTCTAGAAGAAAATTTTTGCAAAGGAGATTCTGTTAAATGTAGTACAGTGCCCTATTTTCTTACATGATTTTTGTTTCAGATTGTAATCATAATGAGAGGGTTGCCTGGCAGTGGAAAGACGCATGTAGCAAAGCTCATCAGGGTATGTAAACAACTGCTGACTGTGTAGTGCTGCATGTCTCTTACGTGCGCTTCCTCTGCTGTTTTCTTGCTGTTTGTCTGGGATTTCAGCCTGTTGTTATTTCGTGTTCCATGTCGTCATATGGCATCTGAATCCCCTCCACTATTAGCAGGCATTAGGGATACTGCTCTCTTCTTGTTTTGAATATAGAGCAGGGAACTGCTGTTTGCCAAAGCATTTGGAAGATCCTCAGTAGCAGAATGGAATTTTTACAGTAAGAGGATATGTTTTCTTTTTCCTTTCCTCCCAGGATAAAGAAGTAGAATGTGGAGGACCTGCACCAAGAGTGCTCAGCTTGGATGACTATTTTATCACTGAAGTGGAAAAAGAAGAGAGAGACCCAGACACAGGGAAAAAAGTGAAAAAGAAGGTACTTTTAAATCAGTTGCTTATCTTCACAAAGAAACAAGACATTCTGGAACAAGACGATGGCAATCAGAATTTCAGTCTGTGGCTTTGGAAGACTGCGGTTTTCTGTGGCCTGTTTTTCAAAACAAGTCAATATAACTTAATGGCAGAATAGGCAAATTCTTAAAAATGGTCCTGGAGGATGTTTTTCTCATAGCAGTGTACTTTGTGGTCATGACATTCAGCACTTGAACATTAGCAATTTAATAGCTGTCCTCTTTCTTAAATGCTTTTGTCTTTGATAAAGGTGATGGAGTATGAATATGAAGCTGATATGGAAGAGACCTATCGTACCAGCATGTTTAAAACTTTCAAAAAGACCTTGGATGATGGCTTCTTCCCCTTCATTATCCTTGATGCTATCAATGATAGAGTGCGACATTTTGAACAGTTTTGGAGTGCTGCAAAAACCAAAGGTTTTGAGGTAATGGAGCCTAAAAAGCATTTGAGCTTGCTAGCACATGTATGCTGGTATTTCTAAACTTTTGAATGCAGAGTCCCTCTCACGTCCAGGAAAAATGCTGTGGTCTTAGAGTTATAAATTTACCTTTCTTAGAATGTACAACTGCAGAGTGTATCACCAGGCAGAAGAAGAGCTCCAAAAATTGATCTACAATATTTAATATTGTCTTTCTCTTTCTAGGTGTACTTAGCTGAAATGAGTGCGGATAACCAGACGTGTTCCAAGAGGAATATTCATGGACGCAAGCTAAAGGACATCAGCAGGGTAACTGTATACATCTGGAGTCATAGGATTAATGAGAAGTTTCATTGTCCCTTCAGTTCTGGACTGCTGTTCTTGGAAAACTATTGACCTCTTTTAGACTACATAATGCTTACACTTTTCCTCTAAGAAGAGTTCGTAGTTATTTCATGGGATTGATTGAAATTACTTAAGTACAGATACATCTTGTTCATAATCAGAAACCAAATTTTTCATTGAACCTGTTATGTTTTTAGATGCTTCATTTTTGTTTGGTTTTTGTCAGATGTCTGATCACTGGGAGGCAGCACCACGTCACATGATGCGCCTGGACATTCGTTCTCTATTGCAGGATGCTGCTATCGAAGAGGTGAGAATCTCTGTGCTTGCTAAAATTACAAATTATGTAGATGTGACTATACTGAAAATACAAAGCAGAGAAGGGTATGATCACAACAGGGCAGTTATACTTGGAACTGTAGAAAGTGAGAATCACTGTGTCAGTCAAGTGTATTCCATTATTCTTATTAATTACCCATGCATGAAGGTACCCAAGTAAAAATGAACAGCTCTTGTCATGGCCATAGAAACTGGTGAACTGCTGAAGTAGGAAGAGAGTTTACTTCTTCCAGTTTGTCGTGAGGTCAGTGGCTTATTTCTGAATCTCCAAATTCTTTGTATCAGAAAATAGTAATCTTTAAGAGGCCAGCAAAAGAGTCAGCTCTCAAGTAGGCTCAGAGAAGGGCAGATTTGGGATTTGCTCTGTGTGCATCAAGGTTTTACTAATGGCATGAAAAACTGTGCATATTTTGAGAGTTTTAGGTATCCACAGTATACATGTGAATCTCCACTAGAGTGATGGACCCCAGAAAGTATTCCATTAGATGGGCAGGGCTAGATGCATGTCTTAAAGCATTCATTTTCTTTATTAGGTTAATACCTGTGATTATTATTCTTCACTGTGGTATCTGAATATATAAAGGTAAATGCTTGTTGTTCTATGCGGAGAGCGCATCCAGTGATGCGTAAATGGCAAGTTGAAGACCTTTTTCTGAGATTTCAAGTTTTGAAATGGGATTGTGTGAGAAGGAAGAGCAGTATCTTTCTGTTATAGATACTGGTAGCGCAAAGAATGCATGTGAAGGAAGAGAATAAACAATTGCTACATTCCCACACAGTTTGTCACGCCATAGCTAGAAGGGAACCTGCTTCTGAGAGAAGACAAGATGGAGCCAATATTCATATATATTGCATCATCATACTTTCCAAGATGAATCCTTTCTTTCCTCTCTATTTGAACTTGGAATCTTCTACTCGCTATGCTAAAATGATGATAATTAAAAGTCAAATATTGCTTTGTAAGTCCATGCTTGTGCTTTGGAACAGGTGGAGATGGAGGATTTTGATGCAAATATTGAAGACCAGAAAGAAGAAGTCAAGAAGGATACAGCAGAGGAGGAAGAAAGTGAACTGGTAGGAGACACATCAGCCATCTTTAACAAAATGTTTGTTAATGTGTCTGAGGGGGAATCTCAGTCTTATAAATGCCAACCCATTGCCATTCTTAGCCATGCAGTCTTAATACTCACATTTCTAGTTGTTTGTTCCTTAACTATTTCTAGGAGAACGTTAATGTCATTATTTCTAACTGAATTTTTTTAAGAATCTGTGAGTATATGCCACAAACAGCATTATCAGTGGAGCATGGCAACATACCTCTTACAGACATTTATAAATTGCACTACACTATAGCACTGTCTTCCAGATTATCCAAGAATGAACTAAGTAGAGGGATGGGAAGAATGGGCAAAGATCAATTTAGCTTATTTCCTTTCACATGTATAAGGAACTCTTCTCAACTGGCACAGTATATGACAACAGTTATGAAAAAGAATGCTTTCTCTGCCAAGGCTCACTCACTTTGTCAGTAGGTATTTCCAAGGTGAGGGATTAGGTCTCTTGGATAAATGAAGGTTAGAGAATTGCCCTGAGGGCTGGTGTATGTATGTATTTAAAAGGCTACAGAAGTCTTCCTAACGTAACTTCTTGGTATATGTTGGAGCTGCAGCTGGCAAGTGCTTGATGAGTTGAATGTGTCAAACCTTAGCTCCCACAACCAAGCAGTTAAACTCCAATAAACAGGAAGTAACCAAAAATGTCTGAGACGACAAGTCTCAGAGTCCTTTTTCTTGATGGAAACTTACTATTCCTCAGCAGTGGCAGTTTAGAAGGAAGTTGAAATACAGAATAAAAAAAAATAAAATTTAGGAAGAGTGGTTTTTAATAAACATCTGTTTTTTTCCAACATGACTCATTTATTCTCTTTACTAAATTATTCCTTGGCACAGAGTATGAGACTTCATAAAGTGTGGTTAGAACGTTTCAAAGATGCATCCATGTTTACAAGAATATGGCTGCTAGTCTCATTTCTTGGAAATGAGCTATATCTAGAAGAGAAAGTTGTCTTTACCTTTTGAGACATCTGTGCATAAATGTGTGTGTGTTGTCTGTGTGTGTTAATGGGATCTGGGGAGTGTCCTTATTTACAGCACATATAACAATAGAACCTTTTCTTTATGAGACAAGGAGAAAGCATGGTCACGAAAACAATGTAAATTATTAATAACTAAAAGTAATCTACATAGAAGGATGTTTTCAGATTCATAAGAGATGAACAATAGCAAAGAATTGTCTGCTGTATGGAATCTCTGCTATTCAGTCACATGGCTAATCTCAAGAGAGAGGTATGTCAGACAGAAAGGTGAAACATTACACTGTATTTGGTATCTGTTGCTTTCTTGAGAGCAGTTGGTAAGGGTTCTTAATTCATTTTGCCGCATTAAGTCCTGTGGAAAAAGAGAGTTCTGAAGCTTTTGCCATCTGGCAGATGTCCTTGGAATATCCAACTGTCTTGTACCAAAGGATGAAGTCTGAATCTTTTCTTATCCTATCTGAGACCTGGGATACTGTGCAGATTCAGCACACAATAGGTCATTTCACACCATCAAAGTCACTCTTTAATTGCTATTATCAACTCCTATAGGGTTGCTTGTAGCATTTAGACAATTCTTTCTTTTCTGTGCTTGATGGTATGAATTACTGATGCATTTAACTTAGTGTTCTCACCAGTGTATCACACATCACTTTGTTCAACACAACTTGGTTTAAAAGTATAAATATACATATATGCATGAACTTTATTTATTTGTTACAAGGAAATATTGCAGCACAAACTGTTTTAGTTTTTATTAATTACAGATGATTAAAAACAATAAGACACGGATCTGATAATCTCAAGTCACTTCATATATGCTTGATAGAAAAAAGGTCTTTCAAGGATTTCGGAAGAGCAATGCTGAACATAATAAAAGCAGTGCAGCTCTCTGGAATAGTACGCTCTGATTTAGTAACCTTTAACATTAACAAATACAAGTATGTGTTTACCACAGTGGAGGCAACCTACAAATAGAGCAGGAAAAAAGTTAGTGTAATAAAATGGTCTGTGGATTGTTTGTTTTCTTGTTGAAAACTTCTAGAGTAGTTCTTCTCCCTCTCTATTAAAAATCATTCTTAAAATAATGAAATTCTCTCAGCAGTTCCATTTCACTATAATGGTTGCAGAGAAACATAAGTAGTTTTATACCAAATTTGAACACTTGAAATGAGTTAAAAGGGGTTGCTTAATAATAATTTACTTGTCCAAGAATATAAAATGAAAAGATAACAAGACGATATCTAAAAGAAATGCCTTTTTGTTAAATTTAGTATCATTATGTTCATTTACAATGAAAAAACTGGCTAAAGATCATTACATGTAAAACATAGGATGACATTATTTGTAAGGAAAAAAATGTTTTAAAAGAATCATTTAACTAAGAGGGTTATTTTAAAACGAAAAATAATGCTTACATCTTAGTGATTCAGCAGATACTCCCATTTAAACTGAAAAAATAATTTTGTTTAGTCATGGACTAACCACTCATCCAAGAATTTAGTATGTTCCTTTGAAAGGATTAAGTGAAGTTTGTGTGTAGTAAATCTGGGAATATATTCTTAAAAGCTTATGACTACAGGAACTTTTTCATTTGTATCTGTAAAGCTTTGAACATTCTTTATGCCTGATAAGTTGTTGCAATAACTTTGCCACCTGGGATAATATAATCTAGTGACTGTGCATGCAACGCCAGTGCTGTCTGTTAGACTCATCCCGGAGTTCTGTGTTTGCAGAGGGCAGCACTCTTGTAACGATTTGCAAGGGCTGCCAAAATCACTGAATGGGAAGTGGATGCAGAAGTTCTGAAATCCTGAGTAATTTGTTTCCTTCATCTGATAACAAGAATTGTGCCTTACAAAAAGAAATACCTTAAGCTCCCATTATAATGCTGTTTCCAGTTCAAAAGTGATATGCATGTGTGTCTCTCTCTAATCCTCCGAGCTTCTCTCTGTGTATGATTTAGGGTTACATTCCGAAAAGCAAATGGGAGATGGACACTTCTGAGGCAAAGCTAGGTGGGTATTTATTTTTTCCTGTTTCTTGAAGTTGGTATCTGATGATGTTTTCAAAACCTGAATTTTCATTTTTACTGTGCTTCCTTACCAAAGACAAATAAATGTAATGATCTCATACACGTGTCTGAAACTGCAAAAGCATCTATACAGAAAAGGAATTTGTCTTCTGACAGAAGCAAGGGAGTTATGACTTTCTAACCGTTGCTGTTTTATATACCCATTAATTGTTCTTCCATCTGTTCAAGGAAAGTACTTTGTCTTAAAAATTAAAAGAAAAGCAGTATTTCTGTTCTTTATTCACCTCTTCTGTATTATGAAAAACAAAGAGTCAACTTACATTGCACTGCATTCTTGTTCATACTGCATACCTTATTTTCAAGCCTCAATGTCATCAGTAACCTCTCACTTTCTTGGAGACATGCCTAGTAGCTGACTCTGTTGAAGATGTTTCTCACTCTCCAAAACTGATATGTGTGAGGACAAAGTAGTGCCATGCTTTGAAGTCGGTTCTGAATGATTAGGCCTCAGTGTATCTTTTCAACACCTTAGGTATTGAAAAGTTAAAGTTCGTTATGGTCTTCAGTTCCAGGAGAGTACTAGAATTCTTCTTAGAATAGAAAATGAACTTTCCAGGAGCACAAGGGCACCATTTTTGCTGCATTTGTTCTGATTAGTGCTGCTGGTTGTGTTAGACATAAGTGTTAATACTAGGATTTTGTCAAAGTCAAAAGCAACAGTCAGGCTGAAATGCATGCACCACAGCTACAGTGGAAGGTGTACACATGGAAACTGGTTTCTGGTCATTATGATCAGGTTTGGTTTGTGTTTTACTGAATAATAGCGGTTCTAAGTGAAGATTTTATCAATGCAATCTGCATAAAGCTGCTGTTTTCTGTCACGTCTGTGAGAAGTAACAAATCTCTGAATTGGATGCAGCATGTCGTAACATTTTGAGGTTCTGCTTCTGCATGTGTGGAACGGCCCTGTGTGTCATTACTTTCTAATAACCAAAATCACAATTGTACCATAGAAATAGCATTAGAAGCTCTGGTTTACATAAACCAGCTTTTCATCTTCTGCTGTTAACTGCTTAGTCAACACCCTGTCTTCTGCTGCTGTGCTCTCTTTTAAGTCATTTAAATATTTGTGGAATATATTGATGTGGCACCTGCAGCACAACTGGAGGAGCCGTGTACTCAGTGATTCCGGCATGTCAAACAGCTAGGCAGTTTGACAGAATTAATTCAGGATTGCTTTGCATTTTTGTTATAGGAATTGATTGTTGTAATATCTTAAGATTATTTCTTAGTTAATAATGATTTCTTTTTTCTGCTATTATGTATGAAACAATAGTACTGGAAAACTGCATTGCTGAAGAGTGCTGTGATACATTGTGCTGTATTCCAAACAACATAGACTTCTTTAAATACTGAGTAGTAGGAACAGATGTGTTGCACTGCATATGGTGAACCTTAAGTCATCCCGTGCGTTCTACAAATATCACAGGAGTCCAAAGTGTGTTCTAAAAGTATTTAAGTTCTATGTGTAGTTTGTAGCAATGTGGAGACTGTGACTGCAGCAGAAGTGTATAAATAGCTTTCAGAATATCTCTCTCTCTTATGATCAAATACTGCTAACAAGTAGAAACAAAGAACTATGTTGCGTTTCTTTCCATATGAAAATCCTTAATATAAAATGTCTCCACTTAGATGTAAAATGGGGAGCGAGCAGCAGAATCAATTTTATGCCAAAGTTACTTGCAAGGCTGTTTCAATAATCCTTTAACAATCAAATTTCATTAACAAACTGGATGTTAGCATGCTGCAAAACACAGATACAGGTGCTGAGAAGGTCTTTCTATTAAGTCCGTATTCAAGATTTTACTTTGTAACTACCTTCCAGACTCATTTTTATAAATATATAGAACTATAGATGAAAAGTAAATTTTGACAGAGCATACATTTTAAAGAAGCCAGGCATTCCTACATAATGAATGCTGTTTCTCTGGAAAACTGCTCTGTAAGGGCAGACAACTTTTAGCTCAAGGTATGCATTATAAGCACTTGCAGTCTGTGAGTAAGAGTTATTATATTTAATTCACAATAAGACTTGGTTGTAGATGACCAATTAAAATTAGTTTCTGAAAGGCATGTAAACTGTGGTATGCATTTGTTGTTCCAAAGCTGAGTTATTTCCTGGGAACTGGCCTGCCCATTAGATTTATTGCGTTAGTCCCGGAGGGCACACATTTGCAGAAGTGGTATTAAGCGCAGAATCCAAAAACAACACTGTAAGTCTTGGTTTGCCTATTTGTTTCCTTTTTTTTTTTTTTTTTTTGTTTTTTTTTTGTAATAAGCCTCAGAAAAGGTCTGAAAAGCTTGAGTCCTTTAGCTGCAATGCTGACTTGTGACAATCACGGTACCGTGCGCCCCAGAGCTCTTGCTTTAGTTGAGATTTGCTTTGGCAGGGGTGATGCATTCCTCTGAGTATGTGTGTGGTTTATCATTTCCTTATGTGTTGTGGGTGCACAGCCACGTTTTTGTTCCAAAGTCTAATCACTGGTCTGTCTCAGTGCATAGTGCACACAGGTTCTTGTATTTAAATTTACAAAAGTGGACTCGCATTTTTAAAATTTGACTGTATTCGAAGTGTTCAGCGCAATACTCTGTTTCAAAGTGCGGCTTAGTGGTGAGTTCTACAGGCTTCCAGGAGAGGAGACGTGAGCTCTGGCTCAAACCACGACACCAAATTTTTGATACCATTGTAAAATTTGCTCTACAACACAAATAACATTTTACGTAAAACCTTGTGGCTTTTGTATAAGAAGGGCACAAATTTAGCTGTTTGATTCATTTAGTTTTTGAAGGAGGTAATTAAGTCAGTTACTTTCAGATGCTTTATTGTTAAAATTCTAAAGGTGAGTTTGCGTTTTCTCAGAAATGCTGCTTCGTTGTTTTTAAAATTGCAATGGTAAAATGATGTTTGGTAGTTTAACACTAAATAATCGTCTACCATAAATATTCACGAGCACCATATTTACAAAATGATACCTTGCCTCATTTTCAGCAAAGAATATTCTGAAGTAATGCTCTGTGGTAGGCTCTGGACATTTCTGTAGTGTCTACTGCACGGCACGTGTACCTTGAACCATGACAGTATGGATGGAAGCAGATCCCTCTGAAAGGCAATCCGGCTTAACACGTGGAAGGAGATAATGTTTTAAAATAAATTCTGTGTAGCAGTAACAAAAAGGGACATAGGGGAACCTCATACTCTGCAGGGCCTCCTGAGCTCCTCTTTTGAGGTCTGAGTTACACGTTTCTTGGCGATGTGTTCAGTTGGTCTCTCTGCAGCAGGGAGTGGGAGACTGAACTCTTCCTTCCACATGGGTAATGAGATGGGCTTGCATCGTAGCGTGTTGCCTTCCAGCAGGAATGTCCATGCACAGATTGCCAACAGAGAGCTCCTGGATTTTCAGTTCTTCATGATCCTAAATGCTCCTCAATGCATTTGTTGTTCTCCTTTTTCAATGTCCTTGTTTGTTTGTTTGTTTTTCTGGAAACCCTTGTTCTACAAATGGTCTACACTGATGGATCTGAGAGTAATACTGAGGAGTAGTGCAGTGCATTATGTGCTGGAGTAACAGCGGAATATTGTATAAATAACTTTTGTCTTCTAGAAGGAGTGCTGTCTGTCTTTGGAGATTGAGCTTCAAATTTGGCAGATTTAACTTAGAGCAAAAGAAGGACCTTAACTGAATCATGTAACAAGATATCATGTAACAGATAAAAATATTCTGCACAGTTTTCTTAAATGTTGGCTTTTTTAAAAGGCAGAGAGGGATTAAAATGTTTTTGTAGAAGAAATCCTGTATCTGTTCCAGGGAAATGCGGCAAAGGGTGGAGTCTTTAAAAATTGTAGAGTTGTATGAGGGAGAAATTACTTCATTAGTTTATGGCATTTAAATTATACTAGCATGTCTACATCTCCATTGCCTCACATTATCTCCGTTGTTGCTCTTTTCTCTCCCACATTAAGTAAAAAAACCTCATCTCTGAACTGAACTTCTTTAAATACATACCTTTGAACATCCTCTTCTGCTATCCAAAAAAATATGCTGCCTTATATTGGGTTTATTTCTGAGGCCTTTTGTGGGTGAATTTAATTTCATCAGTGACTTCTGAAACAACATTACTGACATCACTGGAAATGGTTTACAGAATATAAACTGCAAGCTTAGTATTCCTTCTGCATATCCTTGAATGGTTGGCTTGTCAAATGGTAGCAACATCCACAGAAGTACTAGGATTTCCTTTGACTTGTAAAGCCGTTTTTCATTTTCATGCTTTGTTGTTCGTAATCTTACAATGAATACTTCATCTCCTTTCCAAAAGCAGTTTTGCTACATAATTTCAGGAAGGTGGTGTTTTTTCACTGAAAATAAGTGTCCATAGACTTACAAAATGTTAGAACCTAGGAATGGAATTGTTTCTCCTCATGCCTTATCAGTTCAATAAGAAAAAGAAGAAAACGATGCCTGTTGGACAAATGTACTGCTCAAAATATTCATGACTGTCCTCTTACACCTTGAAACAAAAAGATTGAGATTTTATTTTTTTTTCCAGTCCTGGAGCATTTTTTGAGTATGTTTTCCTTGAGGGGAGAGAAAAAGAAAGGGGGGGAGGGGGAATCAGGGTTTCCAAGGAACTTTTTGTCTAGCAGAAACAGTATCTCAAAAACTTGTCTTTGCATTAAATTATATGATCATCACTTGTTTCCTGATCCTGCATGTACGCCATGTTTGACACAGTATTAAACCCCAAATTTGGGAAAAATGCTACAGCTTTAGTATTGTGTTCAAATACAGAAAGGTGGATCTGTGGTTCCTAGCTTTTGGTGGCTGTATTGTACCTGTAAGGACAGACTCCGTATAGTGTGAACATCCAGAAGAGCAAACTTTTCTCCCTCATACAAATAAAAAGATTGAGTGTTATTGCCACACAGTTAATGTGAAAGATCAATAAAACTTGAAAATGCTGTTGAGTCTTCTCTAGTTTATTTCAACTCTCATCATTCCACCTGTCAAGACAAGCTGGATGTACAACTTCTGCTGCTCATTCTTTTGAAAATTTTTCCACTCTCGTCTTGTTTGTGTGAATAATAGAAAAAAATTCTCCTTTAACTCTGAGGCTCTGTGTTTGTTCTCAGACAAGCTGGATGGTTTGCGGACTGGCACTAAAAGGAAACGTGACTGGGAAGCAATTGCCAGCAGAATGGAAGATTATCTACAGCTTCCAGATGACTATGACACACGTGCTTCTGAACCTGGAAAGAAAAGGGTAATAAATTTTCAAATGACTTACTGCCTGCATATGACCATTTAATGGTCTCTGCGATAGAGAGTTTGGATCAAGTCATTCTGTGTCTATGAATATGACAGTTTCACTGACTCACTTTTCAATTTGCTGTTCCATTACATTCTGTAAGAGAATATTCTCAAGAGTAGGGTCTTCCAGGGGTAAACAGATTAATTATAATGAAGTGAGGAATTGTAGATAATAAAGATTAACTATACATGGCATGGCTTTTGAGATTGAGAATGGAATCATGTCCCATTTCTTGCTGGGGGAGATGATGCACTTTGTTTCGGAGCAACCCACGGAGTCCTTTTCTTATGGTCTATGTTTTGTGATGAGATAGTGTGATATACAGTGCAGATTCCAAAACAAAGATGATTATATTATTAAGTTACTTTTTTGTTAGGTTCTTTAATAAGTAGGCAGAGAAAACAGTACACTGTTGTTTTTTCAAAAAGATTCGGCTGAGGAAAGTATCGGCTATGTAAGTTTTATATCAGTTGAGTCTTGTAGATGTTACCTCCTGCATATACCCTGCATAAAGCTTGGGAGATGGTGTATAAGAAGTTGGCTTCAATCACTTTATATTTAGTTCTGTTCTGAACGGTGATGGTGGAAGAAAGTAGGCATTGCTTATCAGCAGGAGTGTCTGGGGAAATCCAAGCAGAACGTGGAACAGGGAGGTGCTGGCAGAAGGGTGATAAGCCTTGTCCCCTAGTTACAAATCACCTGAAGAGCTAATCAGTTAGGATGGCAAGGTAGAGCTCCTTCACTTACTGTTATTTCTTGTCCTGCAACCGGCTGTTCCAGCTGAGTTTCTGGACTGTAGCTCTTCATCATCACCTCCCTCACTCCCCCCTCACTGTGCGCTCCCTCCCAGGGGTGTCGGGGTTTGTGGGTGAGGGAATGACTCCAAATGTTTGAACAGGATGAGTGCAAGTGATCTGCATGAACATGAAGAGCCACAGAGGAGATGGCTGCAGCTGTAAAGATGGGAGATTACAAATGCATGAAGGAGTTATTTAGTGTAAAGAAATAGTGAAAAGATTGAAATAGAAATTTATCAGAGAAGATAGAGAAGAAAACCCTCGTTCACTCATTCATTGCCGAATTGCTCTTTGACACTGTCTTTCTGTAGTTTCATAGTTGTCTTCTAGATGTTTCCATTGTGCAATTGAAAGACAGGTTGTACAGAAACTGAAGATAATTAATTTATCTTTGATAATTTTTCTGCAGAAGGCATTGCTTTGAACAGAAAAATAATTGTAGTAATTACACTTCAACTCTTAGAATTATAGCATTGAAATGGAAAAGGCTAATTATCCATAGCTTGCTTCTACTTTGTGGAACACCTGGAATATTCAGTTAAAAATAACGTAATTGCTGTAGTTTCCATCTGTACTCATCAGAAAACAAATTAATACTTACCTGTTCGAATGAAAATGAGTACAAATTAGAATTCTTGTGCTCTTATCTGCAGTGGAAAGCTAGACTTGTCTCAGGATTTCTTCAGAGATTGTTCTACTGATAGTATGTTCTCCATAGGTGCGGTGGGCAGATCTAGAAGAAAAAAAAGATGCAGACAGGAAAAGGGCTATTGGTTTTGTTGTTGGACAAACAGATTGGGAGAAAATAACAGATGAAAGTGGTCATCTTGCTGAGAGAGCCCTCAACCGCACCAAGTATATATGAAAAAGTGGTTAAATGGAATTTTGTGCCTTTAAGGTAAGTATTCAGTCTGCCTGCGTGTTTACTTAGTGTTTTTTAAGAGTTGAGTCATGTCATTGTTAGAGTTCTCCCAGACAATATTACTTGATTTGGAGCCTCGTATAATAGATGTCAGCTGTGCCCCTGCCAACATGCACCCTCAGGTACAGCATCTAAAAATAATAACCTTATTAACAGGAAGATTATGTTTTCATTAAAAGAGTAGCTGTGTGTCTAATCCTGTCTAGTTCAGATTTTGCTTACTGTATCTTAACTCTGACCATGTTAATTGCTGTTTTGCTTGGTGTAACAAACTTTTCCTTTCTTTACAGGCCATTTGCTTGGAGGAGAAGTGAACCAAGGTGTCACAAGCATCTTGCATGGGTTATGTCACTCCCACCTTCACAGTTTTTCTTTGTTACTTTAGTTTCAGCAATTTTCTTGAAATATTGGCAGATAACCGATGCCCTCAAAAAACCCAACAAATCCCACTGCTCCTAAGTGAGAGAGACAGTTTACTTTTTAATATTTTTTGGAGGGGAGGGAGGGGGAGGGCCAGTAGTTTTAGCTGCTGTTTGTGGGATAAAGTGGAAGGATTTAGACAGACGTTACCTCCACTGTACCGTTACAGAATGTTTATCACCTTTGCTTTGTGGCCGTTCTCGTTTTATACTGTATGTACCTTGTAGCTTATTGTATTAGGAAGCAGAACAATAAATTTCACTATAAACTCGGTGTTCTTGGTGGGCCGTGGAGCATGGTTTTTGTTTGACATTTTAAATGTGGTCTGTGTTCACATGTTGACAGTGCTCAGAACTGTCCTTACTTGGAAGAGGTGCTGTGCTCATATTCTGGAATGTGTCCTGTCTTCTGGGTTTATCACCTGCTCTTCTTCTCATAGGCGGCTCCATTAAAGGCCCCAGGTTTTGCTGGCCTTTAGGAGCCATACCATTCTCATTCTTCCTGGAGAGCAGGAATGATCGTTATTTTTTGGATCCTAGTTTCTCAATTATATCCAATTTTCATTACTACATGAGTATAAATTTTATTGGATGGCTCTGAAATACTCAAGGTAGTAATGTATGAAAAACAGTTTTTTAATGGTCAACTTGAAAACAGGTACTGCAGGGTTCTCTGGAGGGCAGCCTAGAAAATTCAGTTTGGTCTTACTATGTCTTCTAGCCAACACTGATCCCTATCAGGGTATTTCATTCCATTCCTAGGTCTACTCTCACATAGAGAAACATCATTAAAAGAAGCAGCAAAGACCAAAAGCTATACCCTTCTATTCCTTTAATAGATGTGTTTAGCTTGCTAAAAAGGATAAACGAATAGCAGTCCACGCTATTAAAACTAGTACAAATTCTTCACAGATGATGGTGTACCACTTCTGCCACAGCATCAGGTTTGCTATGAAAACTTTCTTTTGTCCTCTCGGGCTTTGAAGCAAATGCCTTGTGTTAACAGTGTTGTAAGCAGGCAAGGTGTTTAAATCTGAAAAAAAAATGCTGTTTTACTGGTGAGTTGGTTTATTTTTCCCTATTGATCTTTATGAGGGAAGAAAATAGAGTCCTGAACTTCCTTCTCTGCTATTATTTGTTGCTCTGCTGAGTGATTACATTGCGGTTTGCATCTAGGTTGGCAAATCAGCTAGTTCTGGTATAGCAGTAGTTCGTGCTGTTAAGGGAGAGCTGTGATGCTAATAGATGGTTTTGTTTGCCATTCTAATGTTCTTGGTTTATTGAATGTCTCTCAGCCTTGTCTGTGGTGCATGATTGAAAGTCCTTTGGTAAAAGAAGCGAATAGCTGAGCTTGTGTTATGCCCTGAATGTGTTTAATACAAGAAAATCAACCTCCCTAAATGCAGTGGTTTTAAAATGGAAGGTAATAAATATGCATTTTCTGTGTATGCATACCATTATGTAGCATCTATACTTTACTTTTTAAATGTAGCTAAGTACTCTGAATTCTGATTGATAATTGTTGACAAAGGGAAACTAATAGTTAACAAGAAAAATCAGTGTTGTGTGTTGCTGTGGAAATCATGCAAGCTTCACTTCAGAGAAGATACTCTCTCAGGTACGTGTAAAATTGGTTTTAGTCTATCCTCAGTTGTCCATAACAAAACTGGAGTTATTGTGGCATGCCCTTGGTATGAGTTGGTGCTGTTTCTTGACTTTTAAGAAGGTTTTAGATAACCATTTAAGATAATGGTTTTGTCTGTATTTTTGGTAATGCACCCAAACTGGACCCTTTTCTAACATTTTCCTTTCCAGGCTAAATAATATTTCCGGAGCATGTAAATAGATAGCATGTGACAGAATTGATCATATTGTTTACTGTTTTTAACAATTTTGAAAATAATTTTAGTAGATAATGCCCAGCGGGGTCACATTGTTTATTCTGTGGTGCATGTGTAATTAAGAGAGATGAGTGGAGAATGCACATAAGGTTACACTTTGAGAACAGAGAGAAAAGGTATCAGTCTTCAAGTTTAGGGCAGAATTTCAGTTATGAAAACATATTGCTGGAGACTGTCAGACTGTTTAATCAGAACAGGCGGAAGGGCTTGGGGTTTTTTGTTGTTGTTTTCCTGTTTCCTTGGAGTTCAGAGCTTTTCCATTTCTGTAGTACAGAAATATCATTGTCATAATCTTTGTCATTTGTTTCAGTTGGTCTGAATGTTTCACAGGTCAGTCTTCATCTGCTTGATGGGAATTGGCTCTCAGAGAAAATAATTTATGTCAGAACTACAACCTGTAACAGATTCTACATACTCTAGTCCTTCAGTGAATGAGGAAATAGAGCAAAAAAGAAAAATTAATCATTGCTGCTGACAGAACTGCAAATAGCTAGGTATTCCCATGTTTGACTCATAGTCAGGGGTTGGTGATTAGTTATTTTGCTTTTGTCTGGAAAACCCTTCTTTTCAGTATCCAGTACGTTTTGATCCTGATTTAGTTCTTACTCGTCCTCTGCACACTGATAATGGCAGTAGAGTCTTTCACAGTGCTGAACAGAAAGAATCCCCACGTTCATTGATGTCTAAATAGGAAAATATGCATCCGGTGCTCTTGGATAATGATCCATCTTTGATCGTGCCAGAGATTGTGCTAACTCTGAGTTGGACTGTTTCTGTGCAGTGCATCACGTTTAAAAATACAACTCTGAAAAAAACCATCAGCTGCTGCAGAACGGAACTGCTGCCTCTTGAGCAAAGTTGACTGTTAAAACAGTATTTTCTGTCGATTACAATTTCTTATGGCACTTCAGTTTTTCTCAAGATCGTCTGCTTTTTCAAGAATATTGAAACTTCATGTCTCATGGTAAAAGTACGTGTGCTTTTTGCAAGGGAATGTGCAACCTTAGACATGTGATTAGAACTTAGTTGTCACCTTCAGTCACCTTGTGTTTTACTGTAGGATTGCTCATTAAGCATGATGGTCTGACTTCGGTATGAAAGAGTGAAAATATAGCATAGAATATTATGTTGGTTCTGGAAATGTCATGATTTTCTTTTTCTTAAATGTTTACAGCAACATAGATAAACAACTTACCTTGCATTATTAATTCCCAGTCTTTAGAAGGGAAGAATTGGTGTTGGTACAAGTTAGAGTTTCTTTTTTCACCCGTCAGGTTGGGTTTGGTATTTTCTGGGCTTTGCTTCAGTCATCCTTGTGAACCCTGTCTATTAATTGTGCCTTGTCTGTCTGTTGGTGAACAAAATACACTGTTGTTACTGTCTGTTTGTAAGGCATTGTTTTAACTATTTTCTGAAGCCTTTTAATCCTGAACAACCATTTAGATACCATGGGCATCCTTTTATAAAAGGGTTGAATTGGAAAAGTAGGGTTGTACTATTACACTGAAACAAATATATTAACTTGTCCCCCAAAAGCCCACATCTAATCCAGTTGAATAGTTAAAAATTAGGAAGAATCTTGCTTTGCAAGTCACGTTAGAAAGTATTCTTCCTGCAGAAGAATAGTCTGTTATTACTGTGTTTTTGAATGACAGAGAAGAACATCAACTCACCAGCCAAAAGCAGTTTTCTCCCAATTTAAGATTTCAACAGCATTGGAACACTCTGAGAATCCTTTTCAAAGGCATGAAGTAATTCAGCCTGTGGGACAGCTTGTTGCCACCTGAATAAGTTTATTGTTACCAGAAGAAAAAAATATTCTTTATCCATATCTTTCATGCGGCTGCCATGGTGAATCGTTTCATACTCTTCGGACACAATTTCCCTTAGCAGGTTCTGCCATTTTATTATTACTATTGCTGCCACAAAATTTTGGAAACCCATATAATATTCGACAGACCTTGGGACTTGAAGAAAACGTGGTTGATCTGGGTTTGGAGGCCAATAGTGCTTTTTGCTATGAAGTTCCTAATACCTCTGCCAGCGTTCAGCCAGCTGACTGGGAGCTGACTGAACTGAAACCCAGGAACTCTCCTGGAGCACTGTAGCTCAGCATATGTGGACTGGAAAGGGGAAGCAGAACTGGGAGTTTTCTTTGCCTGTGGAACATTCACATGGTCTGCATCCTCAGGAAGCCAAATACTGATGGGTATATGGTTCTTTTTTCTGTACCTCTCTTCATTATTTAATGTTTCCCACATTACTTTTGGGAAGAGAGGTTTCAATGCTGACCTTGAGGTCCACTGACAATTTGGGACCCAGCTGCATCAGGAGAACCTCCATACTGTGAGATAACATACTTGGGAAGCAGAGGTGGCCGTCTCAGTTGAGATCTGCACGTTTTGCAGCATGAACTGTAAGTGAGTAAAAAGATACTCAATTTCTTACAACATGGTGATGTAAGACTCATTATACTTATAGCAGAAATGAGAAGAGAAAGGAAAGAAATTGCCTAGAATTTAAAATACGAATGGCACAATTCTCTTTCTATTTTGAGTTTCTAGGGCAATCATCTTTATTCTCTCATAAAACTTGAATCAAGTTTTCTTTCTTTTCTTTTCTCCTGCCCATCCATTCTTACAGGTGCAAATCAGAATCCTTCCAACAAGTAAAGGAACACCGAGTAACTCTTCTGATTTCTGCTCGAGCTCTATCCCTTTCTTCTTCATAGTGAAACTGTTCTCTTTCATTCTTACTGTGGAGTGTTTCAGCAATTATGGTTCTGTTTCTACCACTTCTGAATGTGCATGGTACTGGATCTGCAGCCTGGCGCCTTAATTCTTCCTCATGCATGTAGGTTGGAAAACTGGTGATGACAGTATTTCATTCAGGTGGATTATCACTTTCTAGCTGATTAATACTGTTTGGAAACAGAATGTGCTCTTTTATTCATGATTTTGCTTAAACCAGGTAAGCGCAAGTGCTGTTACCAAACAAAAAGTACAGCAAGTTACTGGAAATGGAGGGACAAAGTGTTTTGAAGTCACTGATGTTTTCCATTCAGGTTTCTAGTCGAGAGGCTCTGGTCTCTTTGAATTATAGGATTTAAGATCTTAATATGCAAACCTTAAAGCTGCCTCGGTGGAAGTGGCAGTTTCACTTTTTCCTGATATTTTTTCTGATGTGTAGAACTCTCAGATGGAATCTCATTGGGAGGGGAGGCCTTTCCCTAGGGCTTGTGCTATGGAGTGTCAGTCGTTCAAATATTTCTCCACACTGTTTCCCTTGTATTGTGTCAAAAGTATAGGTGAGCACGCTAATATAGAAAGCATTTAATCATGAAAAAGCCTGTTAAGGGTGATTTGAAAGTACTTGTTCATTCTCTTATAAGCACGAGCCATAACAAGTTACATGTAAACTGAAAAATTGGCCAAAAAAAAAGAGAATCTTTCAAAAACTAAGATTTCTTCTGTTTAAATCCTGTAGGATGTTACTTTTCTTCTCTGGGGATTAGCACAGAAAGGGAGCAGAGCTGCAGTTCTTCCCTGTTTCAGATTGTAAATGGCCTTAAAACACAAAAAATCTAAATACTTATTGTGACAGGTAGGTAATACAGACAATGACTTTAATTTGGCACTACACCGTATGGGGGTGACAAGGTATCTTAAGCAGCGTTTAAAAATTACATTTTTTTATTCTGTTTTGGTAAGTCTGATGCAGATAGTAATAAAAGTTTGGTTTGATTGCTGTTGCTGATCCAGGTAGGAGCCTTTGTACGTGTAGCTTCTGGGTTTTCAGAACACTGTATTACTGTTTGAAGCAGAGAAAGCACAGCTTTACCAACAAACACACCTGCATTGTTTTCTGAGCCTCTGTTGCTGCTCAGAACTCTTGTGCAGGCAATGAGTCTTTACTGCTGTTTTTTAAGGTGTTTGTTTTTCTATTTCCTTTGAACTGAAGTTGCCAAATTCTTTCCTTTGAAGAAGACCCGCACAGATCAACTTGTCTGGTAGCAGGTCTCATTGTGCTCTTCAATTAAAATCTCACAGAAATAAAAAATTTTGAGGTAATAATAACCAGATGGCACTAAAGCTTTGATTTAGTGTTAGGATTAAATTGGAGAAAATACAAAAGCTTGAAATTGTTTCCACTGTAATTAAATTTTTGTGGTTTCGTATTGCCCAATACAGTTTTAAACCATTAACTTCTACTTCATGAAAGAAAAAATCATCTCTTTTCTATGGAAAACATTTCAGTGGATTGACATTGCACTATTGTGTGGAGTATCACTTGCAAGATTTCGCGCTCCATTGAACCTATGTGCTGCATAAATATGGAACAAGATCTTTGATGCCTCTCCTTAAGGCAAAAGAAAGTGAAACAGTCTTTTTATATCCTGCTAAAAAGCTTGACAACTGCTGACATCTAATGGAAAATGGGATTTAACTTACTAGTGGCTGATTTTTGATTGTAGAGTCTTTAAATGTAGCAAAAAATAATTCTTCTGAAGCCTTCCAAGATTTCTTATTGAATCTTGCTTTTTTCCTCTTGGAATGAAGAAAAATAAGGATAAATATCCAAACCAAAGCACCAAAGATTCTTCTGACAGAAGAACCTGCTGACTTCGCTCTGGCTAAGAGATCTCAGAAGCTTCACCAGAGACGATACGGAGATCTCTCACAAAGGAACATACTTGAAGCTCTGGTGTGAATGGTTCAAACAGGTTTGTGGGGTGTATGAGGTATTATTGCACATTTTGCAGTAGGTACTTTACAGTTAAGGAGGAATGTGAATACCCTTTTCCAAGGAGTTTATAATCTACATATTCCTTTATTAGGAATATAATGATTTGTATCTCCTTTCCCTTCTCCCAGCAGGCAGAGAGAATCTGCTGTAAGGCTGAAGGGATGGTCCTGAAGTAAACTTGGGTATAAACTTCCTCATTTTCACGTAAAACTCTGTTATAGCTTCATTGCAATATATATGTTTCAGATGTAACTTGAGAAGAATATTCAGCAATTTATCTACAAATCTGTTTGGGAGAGGCACTAACATGGTGAGTATGCTGCACTGCTAGTAGTATGTGACCAGTGCACCTCTGTACCTCCTACTTGAAGATGAACTTGGAGCAGAACAAAAATCTGACTAAAAAGCTATGTGACTGCTTGGCTTTGGGTCAGTGTGGGGAATTGATGAAACCTGTGACGTTCAGGAATAAATATTTCTCCATCACCTCCTTTGTCAGTTGTGTCCCAGTACTGGCTTGTAGGGGGTTGTCTCGGTCCTGTGGATTTCCATCCTTCCCTTGTCCATACGCTAGACTTACAGTGTGCTACGGTGGAGGGAAGGACTATCCATAAGTTCAGACTGGCACGATTTACGTTTTGCCAAATGCAAAAATGCTGACCATACCATGTTGTCACTTTGCGCCCTGTTTTGATAGTTTCTTGGATTCCGCATCTAGATCCGTCTTGAATTTCATTTGAAAAGCCACAGTTGTCCAGAGAATCTCTCTGTCAGGGGCTGTTCTCCACTACACACTCTGGTGCAGCAGCATCCGGTGCATCAGAGTTTTGGAGATGAGTTCCTCAACAGCGTCTGTTACAGCTGAGAAATCTCATAGAGGTTGTCCTTTGTGAAGGAGTAGCGCAAAATTTATCTCTTCGTTCAGACATTTCTTCTCAGCATCTGACTTTTTTGGTGCTAAGTTCCATAAATAGAAAATATGGGTGCTGTGGTCATGGACAGTTGTTTACCCTTCCCAGTGAAATGGAACTTCAGAAATCCACATTACTTATAAATCTGGCCAATTGATGTGAGGCTTGGTGATGAGGTGACTATGTTTTTGCAGGAGTGTAATTTATGTGTGTTCTTCGTCTGGGTGTTTTTATTCATTTGATTGATTCCAAATGTCATTGCCTTGGAAAATACTCTCTCTGCAGCAGTTCCATATCAGTCTCTTATTTAGATGAATGCTTTAGGTTGAGACTTGGGTATATTAGTTCTTCCAGTTTAGGAGATTTACCTTTCTAAGATAAAGATGTGTAGCTTATCTCTTATAGTACACATTGATTTTTCCTTTTCAGGACTGTTGTGGCGTTTCCTTTTATCTTAATTTGTCCTTGGCTGCACGCGTCAAGATGAGGGAAATCTAATTTCAACAATGGAAGCGACTTGTTAGCCTCGGTGTACGGGAGAGATGAATAATGTACTTCTCTCCTTGTGATAATTAACCTAATGGGCGTGGGTTTTTTTCTTTGTTTTCTAGCACAGGTCATAAACAGATGTGTAACGTACCTCATATGTATATTATAGAAAATTTGAATAAATGTGTGATGCTGCAATCAGTTTCCTTTATGTTTAGTTTCCAGCTGGATTAGTCCAGTCCAGCAGGGATTTGAGACCTGTACGTGGCCTTTGGAGCATTCTGCACAGCTATATTTCAAGTTTCAGTCTTTGCTGTGATTTTTTTTCTTTTCCCCCTGTGTATTTGTGTCAAGTAGTATAGACCTGGTGAATACAGAGTTCAGAATGTACAGATGGAGACTGTGTACTGTAGAAGCGTTGTTAACTTTCTGCTAAGCGTTGTTAACTTTGTAGGTTGCTTTCTTTTTGTTAATATTTTTTTTAATATTACTGCTTTTATTGTTCACTACCTTTGATAAACCAGCTGTGGAGAAGACCGACCCCTGGAAATAATGGCACTAAAATGGCATTGAGTTCAGTCCTTAACGTTGTTAAAATATTTTACAAATACCTGGTTGGCATCTTCCCTGGCAAAAAGGATATAGATTAGCAGCAAAATCATGATTGGACACTATTCTAGGGAATTTTGGAAAGTATAAAAGGGTAGAAATAGGTTGCAAAAAAGCAAGAACTGGAATTCAGCATTCAGTGTCAGATATTTTTTTTTTTTTTGTTAACTTTATAACTGTGATAAAAGACAAAGGTTTTGATAATAGGATAATATGTAAAATGCTGCTTTTGGTGATGTCAGGGAGAAAAATGCTCAATAGCAATTCGGCACCGTATTTTGACTTCCACTGTTACCAACTGGGATTTTTTTTGTTTGGCTGCTTTTTTTTGCTGATGTTGTGGAGTTTGGTTTATTTTAAGAGCAGCTTTGCCTTTGGAAGGAGCAGCCTACCTCCGGCAGCGTCACTGACATGTTGCCCTTGAACCCTATGCACACAGGGATTCCGTCCTGCACCCGGGATGCGCCTGAGCCAAGCTCTGAACAGTTAATGTGGAGCAGATAAGCCCTGTCACCAGAGAGGGATTGGCACAAAGATGCACATCTTCAGTGACGCTTCTCAGAAATCACCTTCTAACTTCTCATAGACATAATTAACTTGATTTTTATCTAGGGGTTTACCCTCATGAGTCGGTTCTCTTCCGTTTTGCAGACAGGCTGGGGAGATGCTACATCTTAATGCAGGATGGTGGATGAATTGCGTGGGATTTTGGACTGTTTATGGTGTGGATTCATGTGCTGGGGCGCACTGAATGTCAGAAGCCTACGCTGCGGTCGCATGTATGGATAACATACCTGTGTGCTGAATCTTAACAGTGCGGAACTGAATGTTCTGGCAGGATTTTCCCAGTGCTACAGTTCTGTTTAAATGTCTTACGGGGAAAACAGACATTGGAGAGGTGTTTGCATAAAGCCTTCCTCCCTGTTAATCTCAGCACTCCTTTATTTATACAAGGAATTAGGGCTACTGTATGTAGGTCTTTCGTATGTAGGGCCTGATTTTTTTGTAACACAATATTTACTTTGTCATTACTCCATTACTTTTTTGGATTTCTGTTCTACACCTGCATGAAATCAGAATTACATCTGCAATACTTGCATTTTATCTATCCTCTCCACCTTCCTCTCCCCCAGCTCTCTTAATTGTTATTTTGTTTGTCTGAGAGTCTTTTCTCAGCTTCAGCTTCCAGCGTGCATTGTGGTGGTTTGGGTGTGGGGCTCTTCACTCTATGGTTTATTTCCAGTGGAAAAAGCCACTGAATGCTTGCAAACTCACAGCCATTCAATAATATACTGAATAAAGACAATTGAACTGGCACCAGAAGACTTAGAGGAGAAGCTGTGTGAGATGGTGAATTGAGTTCTGCAAACGGCTGTAGTAGCAGGGTCCGTGGATCGGTGGAGCATGTGGCTGGGATGGTGCAAGGGCCAGTCATTTTTTCCAAAAAGACATTTGGGACATCACATGCTGCTTTCAAGGTGAAATCAGTGCCATGCTCCTGAGGAACACCTTCCACACTGGTTCCAGTATCGTTTGCAAAGAGAGGAGCTGCTCTACAAAGGATTGCCACTGCCACTAATGGCCAGAGGACAACTTATGTGGAAAGAACAAGTGGATGGCTCTGAGGCTGATGGCTCTGGCTGAAATTGACACAACAGGCCATACAGTAATATTAAGAGAGGTAAGATGGAGATCTGATGGTAACTGCCAATCTACTGACTGACTAAGGCCTTAATCTCCATTATTTGTTAAGAAACAGATCTTGATACTTGAAGGGAGGGTATTCCCACATAAATGTTGGCCTATGATTCATGGCACAGTCAAAAGCTAAACTTGCTTTTGCATAACCAGTAAATCTGGGGGAGAATGGTCACAGATGGTGGCGTGGTGACCTGAGTAAGTGAATAAATACCACAAGGAGGTGGTGGGCTTCACTGTATTGATGCAGCCAGACCGTAGGGTGTTAGCAGAGAACAGGAGAGCCACTGGTGTTCCCGAGTGTGTAAAGGAGAGAAATGGCTATTTTTTTGTCTGGAATGCAAAGTGCAGATTTACGGAAACAAGCTTACAGCAACTTGGGAGAGAGCAGATGCTGTAGTTTTGTCTCAGCTATTTGAGAGTTGACACGGCCACAGTTTCTTCGGCACCAAGAGGGTGCTCTGTGCCATTGCAGCCTTCCCCACAGTAGCTGCTCAGGAGACACTGGTCCAAAGACAGTGGTCCTTCCAGTGTGAGGTGGCCCCTTCAAAAAAAATGAAATACAATCATCCTTGTGAGTAAGCCCAGGATCTGCAAGGATTTTGTTTCCCCAATTAGCGTGACTGTTCAAATGCAGAAAGTGTTGCCACCAGCGTCCTGGTTACGTTGCAGGTGTGGAAGGTGCCTGCACAAGCAATTTCTCAAGTATGGTGTTAATGGACATTTCTCCAGTTAAGTGCTAACATATGGGTGAGTATAGTATTGTCACTCCTTTACATCTCAATAAATAGTCAAAGCTCCATGAAGTTCTTGAAACAGAACATTTGTCACCAGATCAAATGCTCTTGCCTTGGCTTGGCCCGTTACAGCCTTGGGAAGCCAAGACCCTGTGCCATGAACAGAGTCCTCCACTGACTGGACCGTTGATGAGATGGTGTTTCCAACTTCCAGATGCTGCGAATTCCTGCAAAGATTGCTCTGGTCCTTGGGATAGCATTGCTTATTAAATGTTCAGTCAGAAACGCAGGTGAGGTTGCTTTGAAGCTCAGGGGTTAGAAGTAGACACAGAATAAATTGGAGTTGCAGCGTGATAAAGAAGAGCTGGGTGAAGAGCTTTACCTGAGCCCTGACAGCAGCAGGGGCTTGTGCTCTACCCAGAGGTTATTGAAGAGTTCACTGCTGAGTGGAAAGCCCCTGGTGCTCTGTGCTGGCTTGGAAATGCCACGCTGTGGGCACAGCCTTCCACAAAAGAAACAATGAACTAAAAATTCTGTGGTCCAGCAGCTGTCGGAGCTGAGAAGACCCGGCCTTGCTGCTGCCTGGGATAAAGCTCGCAGCGGCGGCCCCGGGAGCGTGAACAGATGATAATTCTGCTTTATAATGATTGCTCAAGGGAGGAGAGCACTGTGGCTTTTAAAAATACCGTTTCTATAGCATTATCTTTTTGTAACTGTAGCTACTTATTCCTAAAGTGTTTTATTTAAAAACAGCCTTTGTAATTGTTTTTATTTGAACACAGGTTGTACTGCCATTCCTGGGGACTCGGCAGATGCAGAAATGCCTAGGGCTGGCCTTGCTTTTCCCCTGAGCATGAATTCATGGTGTTTCTAGAAGTTGTCTTTATTTCTACTGTTTCTTACTGATAGACCTGGAAATTAGAAATTGAAAACGATTAGTTAAGCTGTCGTATATTCTGTGCTCGTTCTCTCAGAACCAAATGAGGACAGTTTTATATAGAGATGTATAGATATGTATATACATGTGTGTTGTCAGGTATTTCGCTTAGTTTTTTTAAAACAATATGAAGTATTTTTTTATAATTTCTGTTCTTTGTGTAAAGCTATACATGACACATACGTGCTTTGGGAAATCCAGTAAAATATTTTCCTTGAAGTTTCAAATTTTTTCCTCTCTTGTATTTTCACACCCGCAGCTTTTCACTTCACCACTTGCCTTTAGCTGTTTCGATAAGACAAAGAAATTGATCCTGTTGGGTACAGGCTGGCACTTTTAAGAATGATCCTTGTTAATTTAGTAGAACAACTAGCGAGAAAACAACAAAAGCCTGAGCAATAAACACCAGCAGGGAAGCTGCCATGGCACAAGTGCTGTATCACCAAGAGTTGCTTAGCAAGTAATGGGAAATAGCCCCAGAAAATGTCTAGTGCCTGTTTTATTGGAATAGCAAACCCAAGAACGGTGTTTGATGCTGATACACATAATGAAAAGTACCCTATGAACTTCTAATCAAAAGCCAAGTGCTAAAAACCAAGTTATTAAATCCAAGTTACTTAATTTGGGAAGCCTGTAGAAATACTGCAGAGGCTGATGGTAGGTGTGATGGCTTACTGTAAATCCGCTCAAAGTCATCCTGAAAGGAGAAAATAAGAAATTTCTCAGATTTGAGGTCTTTGTAATGTTTACAAGTTACTGAAAAAAAAAGTTGATCATGACATGGGACTTCACCTGCGACTTAGCAGCCTGTACAGTTAGCTGAGAAGGAATTAGTGTATAAATATCCTCACACGTGTTGAGTGTTGACCTAAATTTGCTTTTCCTTCAGATCTGTGGCACCGCTCTCACTGGCTTTACTGGAATAGCTGTTCTCAAGCATCCTACATCATGCCTGCTTTTAAAAATGGAATTACTTGTTTGATATTTATGCATGGACACGTGCTTGTTCTCTGACAGCCTGGCTTCCATCTTCTCCCACCCCAGCTGCCTCCCCTCCAAGAGGAGCATTACCCCTGGCCAACCTGCTGGGTTTGGGTGGTGGAGGCAAGTCTGTGCTCAGCTTCCAGCAGAGGCTGGCTATCCTCTCACTCCTCTTGAACCATCACTCAGAATCTTCCTTGAAAGCCCCTGGGCCACACGATGTCCTCCCTGTCATAATGCATGCCTGGTCTGGGCAGAGCCCCCAGTGAGACATCTCCCTTCTCCACCTGCTCCTCTCTGCACCCAAGCTGGTGAGATGGGGTGCCCCAGAAGGGAGCGTGCAGCCCTGTCTCTGCGGCTCTATTGCCACCATCTCATCAAAATGGGGCTTTTCATTGCCAAAGTCAAGGGAGAACAGCCCAACTGGCTGCTGCTGTGAGGCTGGCACTTGGCACAGCTCCACTCTCGGTTCCCATCCCCTGGTCCATGGGTCTCACTAACGTGGTTTTTCATCGTGTGCAGAAAGGAAAAGCCTTCTCTACCAGCTAGAGGTGTCAGTCTGTCCTGTGGGGCTCCACAGGGTTTTTTACCCTTGAGACTGATCTCTGCAGTCTCTCCGTGCATCCCTTTGCCTTCCCCAGGAGCGGTGCCAGGTCTGCAGAACAGGGCAGCTCCGCGCAGCAGAGGAAGGGGGTGTCTTCTCCAGCTGAAAAGTGACCGTGGGTCTCTCAGATGCGGTATTTGTGCTGTAACCTGAATAAATCCCTCCTCTCAATGCATATAATGGGACAGCAGATGCTGCTGACACTTCATGAGCACGGGCCACTGGCTCACGGGGGGCTGCCCTGATGCTGAATATGCACACAAGGTGTGTATTTAAGGGAAGGTTCCCTTTCAAGAACATTTGCTTGAGCTGGGCACCTCTAGGGCTGGTTCGCTCACTGTGGACAAGTCCGAATCATCAGCAGGAGTAAAGAAAAAACAGAAATGTTTTATTGCTTGTCAGAGTTTCCCCCCGAGCTATTACGGCACACAGGATGAACATTCACTAGGAACTTCCTCGAGCTCTAATTAGTTGTACATGAGTAATAAGGGCTCTTAAGGTAGGTAATAACCTACATGAGTACATAAGGGCTGTCAGGGCTTTGGCAGCTTAGTCAATGTAGTCACATCTCCCTCTTTTGGCTGCTGTGGGACAGGAGCAGCCTGGAGGCAGGAAATGGAGACTTTTGGTGGTTTGTGGCCTCTGCTGCTGCTCAGCTGTGCCGAGTGGCTGTGTTCCTGTGGGTGGGTTATGAATGTGATTGGAGATGGAAAAGGATAGCCCCGAGGAATCGTTCCCGGGGGACACAGCTAGAGGTGGCTGTGGGCTTTTTGCCTCTACCACAGGAATTTGGATAAGACTACAGGAAAGGATTTTATTTTTTTTTTTTTAAAGATGAAGCTGAGTCAGCAGTAGGTGAGTGCGCTACCCCCGTTGCTTCCTCGGGTAATTAGTGGGAAATGGTAAAGCAAGAGCTCACCCCAAGCCTGAGGGTGATGGCCATAGTCACTGGGTAGGCAGCGGGTCTCCTGTCTCCCCCAGCCCTCCAAGCAGACACACTGTGTCAGGAGAAATCTCCCCGTGACAGGCACCCTCTCATCTTCATATGAAAACACTGCTAGAATGCAAATGAGATTACACACCACACCCTGCACAGCACAACCACTGAAACCCTAATTTCTTAAGAATTCACACCCTATTTCCAATGGATGCTTCAGGCTCTATTGCCCCTAGAGTGACCCCAGCTCTCCCCACCTCCCAGCAGATGTGCTGCTCCAGCCTTCTCCATATCGGTGCTCCTATGAACCTAGATTGAAGGAAGGCAGCCTGAGTCCCCCTCTTTGCATCTCTGGCAGCTGCTGCTGCTCTCCAGGGCTCTCACAGGAGCACGGGGCTGCTATTCAGCTTGCCCTGCTTCAGCCTGCCTGGGTCCATATGCCCTGGTTCCAGGAGGATGAGCACCCCAGGAGGAGGCAGCTGCATCCCATGCTGCCCGGACAGGAGCTCTGCTTGCAGAGGGAGCGTGAGGCGGGTGACCAAAAGGTGGGTAGATCCTCCCTCTGCATCCCTGACTTCTCTGTGCTCTTTGTCACGCTTGGATGAAGGTGGACAGGGGGTTGAAAAGCTGCTGGGGAAGATGCCAGGTAGACAAGTGCATGTGGCCTCCTGTCCTTTACAGAGTCTCTCTAGCCCTGTTTGTTCTTTTTTTTACTTTTACTTTGGATGGAAAGTCTACCTGTACAGAATTCATCCCACAGATACAAGAGGTGAGTGAGGCCTCATCACAGGCAAAGGACAACTGTAGGGTGCTGTTAGTCATGGTCATGTGGGTCCACGTTTCACAGAACCTGGTGTAAAACAGCTCTGTAGTTCCTGCTTCCTTGCAGTTACATGGCAAACATTGGAGCAGCCAATACTGCCCCAAACACTGGGTCCAATACTGTTCATCATCTCTGTTAACAATGAGGTTGTGGAGTCTCCCTCCTTGGAGATACCCAAAAGCCATCTGGACATGGTCCTGGGCAGCTGGTTCTTGGTGGTCTTAAGTAGGGGAGTTGGACCAGAACAGATGACCTCCAGAGGTCCCTTCCACCCTCAGCCACTCTGTGACCCCATGATTTGCAGCACTGTCTTGCCCTCAGCCCCCCAACCTGCCACTTTACTGACACCCACAAACTTGCACATTAGCAGAGGAAGCAAGAAACTGCTCCCCTAGGCAGTGTCTGTAGAAAGGGCTTTGTTCCAGCAGGCTGTCTTCGGTAAACCTGTTTCTTATGTCCCCTGGTCATTTAGCTACAGCCAAAAGAATTTCCTAACCCCTTCCCTGAGCCAGGTCATCATTTCCCTTTCCAGCAACGTTGGTTTTGCCAGCCTGAGGCATTACTCCAGCTCTGCAGTGGTTATTGCTGGCAGGAATGGCACCATCCTGTCCTTCACAGTGCCACCAGCAGCGCTTCTCAGGTGCTGTATGACTGAGCCTGGCATCTGTAACCTTTGGGATGTGTCTCCCTGTAGATCCGCCCGATGGCTGCTGCACTTGCTTCCAGTAGTGGTTCAGAGCAGGCTCACCAGGGGTGAGGGTTTAAGTGAGGACATCTCTCAGCCCCGCAGGGATGCTGGCAGGAGGAGTAAGCCCTTTTGTCACGGTGTTACTCATTTCCCAACAGAAGGCAAGAAATTCCCAAGGTAACGTGTTAGACCCGACGTTATCAAAGAGGTCTCTAGGGCTGTAAAAGGGTAACTTAAACTATGCGTTTATTTAAAAACGGATTGAGTAAATTTGGTGTTGAGGATGTAAAATATGCAAACCTCAAGAAATGAACATACAAACACAAGCAGGAAACTGGGCCAGCTGCACTCACAATGGGGAGAACCACTGTAAAACTGGCCCTGTTTTGGAGACCCTGCCCTGGCATTATCACACACTTCCTTACCCCCCCAGACACCCTGCCTGTGGATCACCCCCTGTGCTCCTCTGATGCTGGAGCTGTGATTTTCCTCCCCTGAATTTCTTGCCAGGCTCTACCACCCAGCTGGCACCTTGCACCACATCCAACAACATCTTGACTTCTTCCCAATCCTCTTCTCCCCCAGCGTTTTGCACGGGGATGTCATTGCTCATCCACAGTTGGACACCACTGCCCTCACAGAGCTTCCCTCCTGTGCCTTTCCCAGCACCTCACTCCTCTTCACAGCCTTTCCCTCCCCACTGCCACCTCTGGTAGGATGCAAGAGCCCTTAACACAAAACACCACACTGTCAGGTGGAAAAGTGACCACAGGGAAAGGAAACTTCCTTGGGTTTACACCCCTACAGCAATGGGGCTGCAGACCACAGGACCAGCCCCTCACCAGTGGGGACAGCTCATGTCAAAATCCACAGGGATTGACAGATCCCAAATAATGTCTTCCCCTTTTACTGCAGGCAGGTTTGTGGAGCCGAGATGTTTGGGATGTTCCTGGGGTGCTTCCACCAGCACACACTCACCTGCTTGGCCCCAGCGTGCAGCTGCACGGAGGGGCTCTTGCCAAATAGCACAGGGGAGGTGGTGGGGGAGGTCGTTTGGGCTAACTATGACAAACACTGTTTTTACATCTCCCAGACAGGGTCAACCATCCTCATGGGGTGCTTGAAATGCTGGAATTCACCAGCTGTTTTCTTTGGATACTGGTGTGTTGTATCTGGATGGAAACGGGGCGTGCTGTTGGACTGGGCACAGCCACCGCTCTGCTGTGCCAAGGAACCTTTGCCCGCTGATAGGACCTCTGCCCGTGTTATAAACAGAAAGGCTGTTTGCCCTGACCTGTGGCCCTCTGTGGAAAAGAGAAGGAAGGCAGCTTGCCCAGGGTCATGGGGAGAGCTGGGGCAGGGCGATTTCCCAGGCTCCAACTTAATGGCTTCATCTCCATCCCTCCCCTCCACAAGTCCCCAGCAGGACCCACTGGCTTTGAGCAGGGGAGCAAAACACACAGCATAAAATCCCAGCGCCTGAGGCAAGAAACAGACCTCACCCCAGGAGCTGTCTTACAGGACAGAGAGAAAATAGTCAGAATAGAGGATGCTGTACAGAGCGCCCAGGAGGTGCTTAGCACACGGTGTGGCTGCACACAGGACCTGGGGCTGTGTTCATGGAGATTCAGCTGCGGAGCAGTTCCTGGGAGCAGCTGGTGGCTTTGAACCCTTCCGGGATGTCACTGTCCAGTTTGGAAATGATTTTGTAAATGGGTTTCTTCCAGGAGGGGTCAGCATCCTTGCCCGCCCTGACGGCGTTGAAGAACTCCCGCAGCGTCAGGCTGGCCACCTCCAGGAACCGCCCCGGCACCTGCAGCAAGATGGGCATCAGCCCACAGCACCTCCAGGTCCCCAGCTCCCCCTCGCCTCGGCAAACCCCGCCAGCCCCCCGCCTCCCCCTCCTCACCTCGAAGTCGTTTCCCTTGTTATAGTGTGTGTTGAGGGCACGGAAGAGCTCCGAGTCCCGGGAGACCCGAAGGGCACCAGCATCCACGACGCCCTCCAGCAGAGCCTGGCGGGCAAACTTCTCCACCTGGATGTAGTAGAACTCACGGAAGTTGCTGAACCATTTGATGAGCTGGGAGGTGATGCAGCGGCTGAACTGCGGGGGGAGAGCCAGAGGACAGGCGTTACACCAGCTTGGAGCCTCCTGACCCATGGGCCCCCCAAAGCCCAGCCACAGGTCGTGGCCTGGCCCCAAACCCAGCTCTGCCCTGAGGGTACAAAAGCACCAGCCAGGACTGTGACATGGGGGTGTCCATGGTGCCTCTCCTCCCTGAGATTCAGAGCCCACCAGCCCTGTGCGGGGGGAGGCACGTTCGTGATGTGATTCATGATGGAAAACAAATCATATGAGGAGCGGTTGAAGGAGCTGGGACTGTTTAGTTTGAGGAAGAGGAGGCTGAGGGGAGACCTCATCACTCTCTACAACTACTTGAAAGGACACTTTAGAGAGGTTGCTGCTGGTCTCTTCTCACAGGTAACTAATGACAGAAAGAGAGGGAACAGCTTCAAGCTCCAACAGGGTAGGTTTAGATTGAACATTAGGAAAGAATTTTTCACAGAGAGAGTGGTCAGACACTGGAATAGGCTGCCCAGGGAGGTGGTTGAGTCACCATCCCTGGATGTGTTTAAGAGGTGTTCAGATGTAGTGTTGGGGGATACGGTGTAGGGGAGAACTTTGTAGAGTAGGGTAGATGGTTGGACTCGATGATCCCAAGGGTCTCTTCCAACCTGAATGATTCTATGATGCTACATGCTTTAATCCCAATGCATCAAAAGCACAGAGGGAAAACCTGGCAGCCCAGATCTGCCATGGCCACAAGCAGCCCCTCTGGGGCTGAAGTGTGTGCTGTCCCCCTGCTCCTGCCAGCACGGCAGGGGGGGACACACGAGAGCATCCCCTTCCCTGGGGTTCCCCAGCAATGCGGGCTGGGTGCCATGCTGCCTGGGAGCCCTGCTGGGCACCAGCACCAGGTGCTGCCGCTTTACCTGCACGTCGAGGAAGTAGGTTTTCAGCAGGGTGGAGCTGGGGTAGCGGGTGAAGAAAAACATCAGCTTGGCCTTCTTCAGGTGGCCGGGGGTCAGCGCCTCCTGGATCTGCCTTGGAGTCAAGGAAAGCCTGCACGCAGCAGCCCAACCGGAGCATCCCTGGGCATTGGCCTTGGCACACATGTGCCTGGTGCCTGCAATAACCTCTTCCCATGGCCTGGCAGCAGGGTGGAGGGGGTTTGTCCCTGGCTGGGCTCTTCCCTTCAACATCCCTGGGGAAGCTGCCGCTCCCCACGGTGCTTCCCGGGCTGGTAGGAACAGGGATATCCATGAAACACCTGTTCCTGGCTTAGGATGACAGGAACACCAGGATAGCCTAAAAGCAGGCTTGGGAGCTCCTGACTTCTACCCTCAGCTATGCTACAGCATCTAGCCAACCCTGAGGAGTGGCAGTGCCCCTCCATAGGTCAGCACCCCTTTCCTGCCCCCTCCTTTTTAGCCCCCTGTGGAGCCAGGAGAACCCTGGCCCTGGGGACTGGAACCCCCCTGGGACTTGGCACAGCAGGAACTGTGCCAAGCTGTGGCTCTGGAGGACAAGGGGAGCACATCCAAGCCCAGGGATCTGTCTAGCTCCAGCTGAGCCCAGGGATCTCTCCAGCTGAGCCCAAAGGATATATGGGTGGAGGTGAAGGGCGCTCCATCCATCACAGCCTGCAGCTCCCCGCGGCCGTCCCTGCCAGCTGGCAGCAGCGCCAGGCTCTCCACGTCGGCAGGGCTGAGGGGCAGGGGATGCTGCTGCTGCTGCTGTCTCACGACTGATGACCTCAGTTTGACGGTTCCCCAGTGCAAGTTGAGGGACTCCAGAGGACCCCTCTCCGGAGCAGAAGGGCTCCCACAAGAGCTGCTGCCCCAGGGGCCGTGCTGGCCGCAGCCCAGCAGCTGGCTCAGCAGCTGGCTGTCCTGGACGGGGGTGGCCGAGCCCAGTGGATAACCCATGTTCTGTACTTGACAGGGTTTTCTGATCCCCTTTGAACTGAAGGAGACAGCATGAGAGCCCGGGCTCTTCCCTGAAGTTCCTGACAGGGCCTCAGCCTGGGGTGAGCTCAGCGAGCCCAGTGCACTGGTGGGAGATGGCTTAGCAAGTGGCTTTCTGCATTTCCCAGCAGCAACATACTCCCTCCTGGCACCTGGCCCTGACACTGGGAGGCTGTGGTGCTGCTGCAGAAGGTGGCTGGCTGCCTTTGGCCAGATGGTCTTCAGGACGGAGTCCACCACCTGCGATGTCACCCCGGCCAGCTCATCCTTCAGCGCCTGCGAGAGGACCCTTGCTGCTGAGGGCAACCCAACTGTGTCACCTCTGTCCTTGTCCTCCTCTGGCCCATGCACCTCCAGGACACTCCTCCGGAGAGGTGCTTTGCACAGGTTGCCAGTGGCAGCAGCACTGTCCTTGTCCGGTCTGTCTCCAGGTTTCCCAGGCAGTGGATGTGCTTTCTCGGCACCTTCCTGGGTTTGGGCAGCATCCACAGAGTCACAGACCTGGGAGAACTTCTCCTGAAGCCACCTCAGCTGCTGCTCTAAAAGGCAGAGCTGCTCTTTCAGCTGCTGGTAGCCCTCGGCACGGGGACTGCCCACCACGGGAGCCACTTGCCCAGCTGCCCCTGTGCCCTGCTGGGGCACCCTCGGCTTCCTCTTGCTCTCCCGGGGCATCTCACCACCCCTCTCCCTCTCATGCCCGAAAGCTGCCTCCAGGCTGGTGCCAAACACCTGGGGGGTTGGTGGGAGGCTCATGCCTTGGATGATGCTCTCCACCCTGGCCCGCTTGGCTCGTAGGTGCTGGTCAGAGAGCTGGTCCCTGTCACCAGCACAGGGCATGGAAGCTGGGGCTCGGGTTGTGGGGAAAGCCAGGGCTTTTGCTCCTTCTCCAGGAGAGGCACTACACTCGTAGTCCTGAGGCAGGGCCACTGCCTGGGAAGAAGGGAAAAGGATGGAAGGATCCAGGCTCCTGCCAACCATCGGGTGGCTGAGGAGCTGTGATATCAGGGATGTGCTGGGGGAAGGCAAGAGAGAGTTGGTCTGGAAACAGGGCTCCGTCTTCACCCCCTGGTTGTGCCCTGCAATGGCACCATCTCTGTCCTGCCCAGAGGCAGTGCTGCCATCCATTGTCTCTTCTTCCTGCCTGGACACCAGAGGGCTGACCCTCAGCTGGTTTGGGATCATTTCCAGTGATGGGCTGGCAGGCTTCCCAGCTGTTTGAGGTTTCAGCCTGCTAAAGGTATGGAGCTGGAGAAAGAGCAAGAAACGTCAGCAGGCAGGACATCATACAGCAGCTCTGCATGCACATGGCCAGAGATTTTCTCCCAGATTCCCAGGGCATCCCCATTCCCAGACCATTCCCTGCTCCTGGCACTGCCAAACCCCTGAGCAGGCTGTCGGGAGTTGCGTGATAGCAGCAAAGCCTTGGACACCATCACAACTGCCACCTGCCAGGCAGGCATTTGTGGTGCCCAGAGTTCACTTCACATGGTTTGAGTTCTGGATGGGTCCAGCAGTATGGACTTCCCCCACCACCAGCTGTGCCTGCTCTGGAGATCCTTGGGGAAACTCCCCTCTGGGCTTGTGGACTTGGGTACAAGGGTGGTGAGCACCAAACGGAGCCCTCTGCCACGCTCGCTGGGGCAAAGGTGGGTTTGGGTGCTCGGGGACGGAAGCTACATCCCTGGCAAAGCCCTTCATGCCATGTAGCTGCTAAGCCAGGGCATGGCTGCTGCGTGCTTCTGCTGGCACCCGGCACCTGCTGCCACAGCCCCGAGGGCAGGGTGATGTTCAGGCTAACACAGCACAGTGCTCCTAAGCACTTGTTAAAACACAGAATAAAAAGGAACGGGGGTGGGGATGGGGATTACTGGGGAAAAGAAAAACTACTGAGCCAGCAGCCCCTGGCTTAGAAATGTTCTGCTGACTCCGGGCAGGGATCCACCCCCTCGGCTCGCTGGGACAGCTTTGCTAAAGAAGGCACAAAAGCTCATATCCTGGGCAATTACAGAGTAACTGTCCCTCTGGGATGCTTCTTCTTCATAAACGTTAATTAGCAGCAGCTTTGCATCTATGAAGTAGGACGGGTTATCTCTTTTTCAGACACCTTCAAAGCGTCTGAGATTTTTTTGCAATAGTCAGAAATGTCTGAGCATTTTCAACACCATCAGTCTCCTGTCCCCATGACTGTCTGCCCCACAGCGAGTCCCCCAGGCTGATAAACAGTGTAGAAAATGGGTTTCTACTCACTGGTTTTCATCAGGTTACCTTTCTTCAAACAGCCTTTTGCTCCAGGCAGGAATCTTGGAAAGCTCTACCTTTTACAGAGCTCTAATCCTGACAAACCAAGTGCTTTCTGGGTTGCCCGATACCACTTGTGGCTCTTCTGTGTGGTCTCCTCACCCCTCCCAAACACTAGGATTTCATTTTCCTTACAGTCTGTCGTGAGGGACGATCAAACTGCTTGGTTTACCCGCAGCCAGCATGAGGCTGGGGCGCTGGCAGTTCTCAACATCACCCCCATCCTTGTATAACGAGCTGCCTCCTGGCCTGCCAGCCGCTTCCAGCAAAGCCACGCAGCGAATGCAACGCCGTCAGAGATTGCATCCTCCCGTAAGCCTTTCTGTGTGGCACGGGCACAAGACAGCTCGTCCTGCAGCCTCACTTTTGGGTGCTTCAATCTGTTATAAAAACACCCTCTTTGGGCACTTGCTCACAATTTCTCACCTCCTCTGTGTTCGGCAGTGAGGTCAGGGAGCTCACCCATCCCCTATGCTGAGGTTTCCTAGCCCCAGGAAGCCGGGGTGATACAACTCAGAGCTGGCAAGAAGTCCTCTGCTTGCCTAAGGCTTCCAGCACCACTACCTTTCTGCTAGATATTTGGAGAATGGGAGCAGAGCCTGCAGTCCCAGGCCACAGCAGCCCACCATGAGCAGCCTTGGCTCTCCCCTGCAGCCTCCCCAGCATCATAGGACCAGGAGGTCCTGCCCCAAGCAAACTGCAGCCCTTTGCCCGCTGAGTTAGCACATGCGTACTTGGGTTCCATCCTACCAGCCTTCACCAGTGCCACCTTCCAAAACACTAAAAAGCAGCCCAGGCCCCTCTTACCTGAAGAAAATGGACGAGGAAGGAAACAAGGATGCTCAGAAGAGACGGCAAGCTTGTCCTCTCCAAAATGGGAACAACTCGACGTGGACTCCCCAGGCGTTCCTCAGCAGGAGAGCCGAGCACAGAGCACCCTGCCACCACCGCACCCCTCTCAGCGAGCAGTCCCCGACCCGAACCAATGTCACCTCTTCACCCTGCTCAGCTGGGTGCAGGGGTGCGGGGAGCGCAGCACCCCGAGAGCCGGGGGGATGCCGCAGAGGCAGCGCCCACACCGTGTCCTCCCCGCTGCGCTCAGGTCCTTTAAAGAGGGAGTGGGGAGGCTGGAGGCAGCCAACCGGCTGGGAACGACTTCTGAATATGCAGATGGACAGACCTCCAGGAGGTCAGGTCCAGTGCCGGAGTCCAGCCACCATCCCTGCCCCTCAGCCGTCTCCCAGGCTCAGAGCCCCTGGACAAGGGCTGGTGCTGAGCTGCCCAGGTGGGCAGAGGGCCAGACGAGCAACTCCCCCCTACAATTTGGCCTGGAAATCCCATCCAGGACCCAGGGTGCTGAACCGGGGGTGAGATGATGCAGATACAGCAGGCTAGAGGCAAGCAGTGCCACAGGCGAGGAAGGAGCCCACCCAGAGCTCCAGGTGCTGCCCAGCTCCCGTGGAAAGCACCCAGGCATTTCCAGCATCCCCTGCCATGGGGACACAGAGGCATTTTGTCCAGCGGGGAAATGGAACAACACAGGAAAAGCAGGAACACTGAGTCCCCTGCTTATCGCAGGGTGCTTTAGAGATAGTGCTGCAGCCATGAGAGCCCACCTCAGCACCAGCCCCGGGACAAACCTACCTGCCCCAGAGGCACAGGTGGTTGTGAGACACCTTGTGCAGGAGCTGTGGGGCGGGTGGACAAAGCCTATCCATGCGAGCCACTCCTGGGGTTTTAGTCTGCTTGGCCTCCACACGCTTACTGACCGTGGTGATGTTTGGTGTATACATTTGGTATGGCAGGAGGCTGTGGTTACAAGCAGTTGGAATCAGGTCGTCTTGTTCAAGGACGTACACCCTCGAAAGACAGATCGTGGAGAAATCCCCAGCAGAAAGTCTTTCTGGCTCAGTTGCCTTTTATTAAAGCAGTCAGCACATCCTCAAAGCCTCAGAGATTGATTTTTCTTCAGCCTCTTTTCTTTGAAAAGGATGCCAAGGCTGCCCGTTGCGAATTTATATTAGGAGACTATTTTGAAGGTTGCAGTTTACCATCCATCTATTATTAAGCAATGGCTAAATTAAGGATGTGTGCACAGCCTGGACTTGACTCCCTGAGATGCCTGGCTGCCAGACAGCCTTTTATGACTGTCCCAAGCTAATTCACTGATTCTGCAAATGGGTTCCTTGGGTTTTCTTCCACCTGTTGTTGCCAACCCGGAAGAAGGCAGAAACCAGAAGCTAGCTGGGGGATTCACAAACATATTCAACATACAGCCCACAGCTAGGGACCGGGACTTAGTTGGGGACTCATTTGCCTGTCTGCCATGGTGAGATGACCTCCTTGCCCATTTCATAGAATCACAGTGTGGTTTAGGTTGGAAATGACCTTCAAAGGTTGTCTAGTCCACGCCCCCTGCAATGAGCTGGGATATCTTCAACTAGACCAGGTTGCTCAGACCCCGCCTAACCTGACCTTGAATGTTTCCAGGAATGAGGAATCCAACACCTTTCTGGGCAACCAGTGTCAGTGTCTCACCACCCTCATTGCTAATTTTTTTTCCTTCTATCTGGTTGCATGGTTAGAAATTGTTTTAAATTAAAGCAATTTGTAACCGTGCAAGATCCCACTAGCTGTCACCTGTGGTAGTATCATCCTACATGAGCCCAACGCCACCATGTGTCAAGGTGAGCAGGAAGACCACCCGTACAGCTCTCCTGCAGCAATCCAGAGTCGGTTCCATGAAGTGTGTCATGAAATGGTACCCTTTGGTAATACATAGAGGGGGGGTTAAATACCAGGAATCGTAGGTAACGTAACTCGTCATGTGAAAGCCCCCGTGTCTACTTGTGCCGGGGGCTGTTCAGCCCAGGCACAGGCAGGGCTGCACAAAGGTACTGACCACACGGTACTGACAGGGGACAACCCCACCATCTGCTGGCCCCTGGCCCTGCACAGGGCTGTGGAAAACATTTGGTAGGATTCCATAGGAGTCTCCTGAGGTATCACAACCTGCTCCTGCCCCACGGCCCTGTCCCCATACCTGTCTCAGCCCCATAGCCCCTGTCTTAGGCCTGCCCTCACCCCATAGCCCTGTCCCCATACCTGTTTCAGTCCCATAGCCCTCACCTAAGGCCTGCCCTCACCCCACAGCCCTGTCCCTATGCCTTTCCCTGCACCACAGCCCCTGCCCTAGGCCTGCCCTCACCCCACAGCCCTGTCCCCATGCCCTTCCCTGCACCACAGCCCTCACCTAAGGCCTGCCCTCACCCCACAGCCCTGTCCCCTGCCCTAGGCCTGTCCTCACCCCACAGCCCTGCCCCGACATCCCCTACCCCTCCCCGCCCGCGATGGTGCCGCCCCTCGGGCCGCGCTCCCCCC